TCTTTGGACAGACGCATGTAATAGCCCGAGAAACCTTAGAGGATTTATTTAGAACTGGGAATGTAGATTTTAATGATCCTGAATCATTGACGAACTTGGCCATTAAAATGCAGAATGCTGCTTTAACTTTAGAACAGTTAAATTGTACAGCTGAACTTGACTCTATGGCTACTTTAGAACGAATAGTAAGGCTCTTACCTCGTCGAATGCAAGCCCAGTGGGCAGAGCTGGGAATCAAATGGGACGAAGAGGAGAGAGAGCCTAATTTCAATGATTTGACGGAATTTATTATGTCTCGTGCTAAGATAGCTAATAGTAGGTTCGGAAGATTAGCTTATCAGGCTAAAACAGGACATAATACGGAAGCTACTAGTGGTCTGCGTGCGACACATGAGGATTCTTCGTTTCTACCTAACGCACGCCCGGAATATAAGAGAGTTGTCAATTATATCACGAAAGTATATGCTGTTGAAGGCCGAGTATGTGACCGTGATGATGTAAAACCTCTTGATGCGTATCCCAGTAAGAAGCCGGTTTGTGTAACAGATAAGATGGCTTTTTTAAGTATGGAAAAGAAAGAAAAAGGCGAAAAGTGTAGGCATCAAGATGGATCTGAGGTGTGTGATGATGAAAGCCTCTTAGCTGCTCGAAAAGCCTGGAACGGTTATTTGGATTCGAGTAAACAGAGGTTAATGAGTTCAGTAAATATGAATAAGGCCCAGGCAGGATTGTCTGAACGGAATAAAGCCTATTTTTGGAACCCTTCATTTAGGGTAAATTATATAACTGGACCTAGAGTAGATTCTAGGATAAGTGATGGTGGTACTGTAAAGGCTAAGAAGCCTAGGAGACAACATGATGCTACTATTATTAAGAAGCCTAAACCTCATGCTCTTTCGGATGCTATGACTAGCAATGGAAATAGTAGCCATCAGAACCTTAGTAGTGACAGTGATTATAAGGAGACAGAAAGTGTCAGCAGTCCTCTTATAGTGACTAGTCTATCAACTTCATCGAATGAGCCTCCTAGTGTTTCGACGTCATTGGACCTCGTCACGAATGTTAAGTTGATTGAAGATGCACAAGGTTGTGCAACTGTAACTGTTCCTATTCCGGTTGACTGTCAGTCGAGTGATGATGAGAAGAAAGTGTTTGATGGTAACAGCCAGTCTACAGTGTTGTGTGATGACGATGCTATTGATGAGCATATGTCTTGTGTCTCTGAAACAGAACATGAAGAACAACAAGTGAGTATATCAGTTTCGAATTGCGATACTAATGCTGTTCTTTCATGTAGTGATATGAGTTATACAAAAATGGAAGAGTTCCACTCTACGGATGCTAATGCAGACCGAATCGACGCGACTTGTCTGGCAGAACGGAATCATGATGACGTTGATAATAATCTGGATGTCACTGATGTGACAAATGAGTTACCGACGATGACGAATACTGATCAAACCTCCTTTGTGTCAGGAGATGGAGACGATGAAATGTCAAAATTGGAGATCCCACCCTTGCATATTATCTATGGGTCAAGAATTCCTGTTGATAAGTTAGCATCACGGACTTCATTGTATCTGCTGATCGGAGCAAGTGGTGGTGGAATGACGACTCATCCCCATGATATGGAATGTAGTTCCCGGATAGGATATGACCAGTTTTACGACATGTTGTTCATGTTCGTGTGGGTTAATTGGGTAAGGTTTATACTACCGTTAGGTCATGCCACGATAGATAGGAGAATCAAGGGCCTGATGGGAAAGTATAGGTACCTAGTTAGCACGGTAGGTCATATCCATGTTGGATGGCGGGTAGGCGTACTGCTGTAAGTCCTACACGTTATTCCGGTGTGGATTAGGGGATAACTGGGAACCCTAAATAAAGTGTCATTAACGCTTGCTCTTTTTGCATGGAGGGATTTTGCGGGCCGGTGTAGAATCCTTTTTGAATGTTTTGTGTTTTGGAAAATCCCTCCATGTTTACATATTTTTGCTATAACATGACGGACTTTTTCTGTTGACATTTTTGGTATTTTATTTGATTCCAATTTGAGATTTTATCATTGTATATTGTTATTCTTTCTATATTTTGTACTTATATTGAAGTTTTTATGTTTGCTTCTGAACTGTACATATGTTGTTTAAATTTGATATAATATGGCTACCGCCACATTTTTGGATTCAACATCGTGCAGTATAGGAGTTCACCTAGACCTCGGAACATTGATACTCGTTCGGAGTAATTCTGAATTGGAAGACGTAATATTAGTTAGGTATTATTTGTATTTCCATTTGTTATTTGTAAGTAGACCATTTTCCCCTAGAATTATTGTGTTTTAATTTCAAAATCGGGAAGTGCGTCCAACCTACGTCTATTGGAATCGAATTGAACTGTCACGATGGAGAATTCAAGTACAGTGACTTCCGATGGAACTCGGCCTTCATCACGCGACGTCATAATTCTTCTTACAACTCCCAGGGCAGAGTTAAGATGGTTTGAATTAGTTTTTCTGGTTAGCGCTTTTTTGGCAAGTTAGTTTTTGACGGAATGGGGTCGCCGACCCCATGTCCAACCCTCCTCCTTTACCCGAGCTTGGGACCGGCAGTAGCCCCTAAGGTTCCACTGGCGGAGTTGACTTATAAAGCAGAGGTGATAAAAAACAACAAATAGAATTTCATCAGTGTATAAAATCCATGTGCCTTTCTTTTTATATTCTGTGGATCAACATAATTTTTACTGACTTTGTTCTATCGAGTCACCACTATTCACAAGATTATTTGCCTATTCGTTCTTTTAATAGTAACCTGTCTCCATTAACATTCATAAATGCAGGTGCACAACTAGAAAAATCCGAGTAGTCATACCTTTTTTTATCCACAAATATTATCTTCTGAGTCATGACTCAGCTTTAAACAACTGTATTTGCAGTTCTGTTACTCACCTCTCTCTCTTTACTTCCCTTTTCTAACATCTCATTCTGATCCTTTTTAAACATTTTGATCTTGCCTGTAAATAGGCATGCTTCGGGTAACATGTTGTTAGATGACAATTAAAATTTGAGTCATTTTTATTCTGCGATAGATAGGTTGACTAACTCTATGAAACCGAAGCGCCTAAATGTAACGATCCCTCCATGCCAGATTACTCATATCCATGTTCATGTAACGTTTTTACACAATTCAGAATCAACGAAACAGCGAAATTAAAAACAGTGACGCTAAAAGTCTCACCTAAAATTTAAATGCCAATCCATCTAAGTAAACCTATTTCCCCCAACAGAAAACCTGCCAAACTGTCGAAGAAGGTAGCCACAACTTGAGCCGATAAATCAACGAAACTGTTGGTTGTTGTAAGTGTTCCATTATCCACAAGTATAACTAATCATTGAGTGAATATAAGAAAGACAAACAACAGCACCACAGCCCCAAATCTCTACGAATCAGGTACTGAGACATCAGAGGTAACTAATTAATTTTATTTAACGTGTCTGTGTCGAGGGTTAAGTTACTGGAATGCAGGTCTGTCTTTGATAGAGAACAGTCGGATGAGGATTACTCCAAGCATCGGATTAGCAGTATTCCGGCCGGCATCTATTTCGGTTCATGACCAAAAGAAAACCCAATAATCAGGGTTTGTGTTCCCTCAAAGGTCCCGATTGGGAAGATCTCACCAACCTTGAGATGGATTAGATCTTAATTACCAACTTCACTTAAACCAGGTATCCACATTTTCAGTGTACTACTCAAACCCAGTGCCAGATAACAGCTCAGGGAATGTCCGAATTACTCGTGAATTAATAATAACGAAAATGAAATCCTTATGCACACGAAACTCACCAGGGTTTGGCAGTATTCGCTCTATAGTCTTGAAACAGTGTGCAGAAGTCCTCTGTTCAATGATACGTCACCTGTTCGGACATTCAATGGAGACACATCAACTTACAGGTAAATAGAAACACGCCAGTGTCTCCAATCTTAGAACTAAGAAGCAGCGATCCAGCCTGTTAGAGACCAGCTGCATTACCACTAATACTGTCGAAGGTAATGAAAGGGCTGGTCAATAGGCAAATGGGGGAGTACATGGATAAAAGCGAAATACTCCATGAAGCTCAACAAGGATTTCAGAAAGGCAGGTCGTGTGCAATAAATCTTCTCATAGCATGGGACAGTTGGCAATCTTGCTGGGACGGAAAATACCGGTGAACATTACATTATTTAACCTTGTAAAAGTCTTTGACACAGTACCCGATGCACTCCTAATTGCTAAGGTTGCGGAAATGGAGTTCACTGACTCACTCCTTAGCTTAGAAACTACCTTGAAAACAGAAGGCTTCGTACCAAGGTAAACATAGCGCATGCGGTCCGGCGAGTCTTAACATCAGGAGTTTCACAGAGGACCAGTTTAGGTCCACTTCTCTTACTGATATTCATTAGCGATCAGTTAGACACAGTCAGCTCAGCGGCAGACGATGCAAAGATCTGGAGGTACATTACAAGCGAAGAGGACTCGACTGAGCTTCAATGGATTATACATCCATTGAGGAATGGGCAGTGAAAAACGGTTTTAAACTAAACAAGCCGAAATGTCAAGTTATGTTCATTCTGCAATACGAGGCAAACGGTTTGCATCCTCAACGGAAGCCCGCTCCCTGATGTATCCTCAGAGTGCGACCTCGTATTAGTAAACACTTAACGCCTCCACGCCAGTTCGAACTGTATAGGGGACGCAGCCAAGGTAAGTGCAACTCTTCACTCTATGCGAAAACAACTTGGTGCTATTACCATCCAATTATTCTTAACGATATTTAAGACATATGCACGCCCATACCTTGAGGTTCTCAACGTTTTGCTCCCACTCTCCTTAGGAGAGGCATGAATCCCTTGGATCGAGTGAAGAGACTCTTGATAAAGGTATTGGATAATGAATATTCGATATTGTTTTTATTTTCTGGAGAGCCACTTTTTCATTAGAAATAACGCCTTATCGCTAACATAACAATGGCGATAGCCGTAGCTGTTAAGCATCATGTTGAAAATGTAAAATCAAGTCCTAATTATAATATTTTTAGCAGTGGTCAAAAATGTTCCCGAATCAGTTAGGAGTCGAACTTCAGTCTCTTATTTTCATCAAGAAGCTGTTTGCCGTCGCAGTATCTTATGTTTTATATTTCAGAGATATTTTCCCTGAATCCGCTTTCCAAGACAAACAACTTGAGGGTATGAAACACTTTGATCTAATGCTTTTGCAGGGATAGAGCTGAAGATTCTGAAAGAAAGCTCTACATTACCTGATTCATCTAAGATAGTTTATTGGCTTAAAGGTTGTTTTGATGCCATTGACCGTCATTTTGTAGGTCTATTAAACAATACATTAATATTATTTTTAGCTTAAGTCAGCGACCTTAGCACTTTATTCGCCCGACAAAGGTCTACATTCAAGCAACGTCAGTGAATACGATATCATTGAATCATATTGCTTCAGGCTGTCCTATGGTCAGGAAAAGCTTTCACTTGATTTAAAAACCGAAAATCGAGAAGAAACTAATAGTTTGTGCGAAATCTCAAGCTCCCCTGAATTCGAAGTCCGAAAAGCTACTTTGAGTCTCCTAAAAAGTATTCAAACTGTTGGAGGAAGATTATCTAAACTACCATCGGAACTAATGATAACGATGAAGTTGCAGTATTATGATGAAGGTAGCCGGGTTTGTAAATAAGTCTTGTAGACGATCGAATTTCAAGATACCAGATCTTCTAGAGACTTTTCGAATTTACTTCCCTCAAAATACCCGTTCTGTAACATTAAATACGTCTTAACATGTCCTGTAGTGTTTTTTCCCATGATAGATAATTTGGAATGCTACACGTTACTTCACAGACACAAATAAATCTGCGTCACTTTTAAAATAACTTTTTTTAGAGTGTAGTTGTCTTTGAAGAGTTCAATTCTAACAACAAATAAATCGAAATTCTTTAAATTTGGCCAATATTTTCTACAAAAACAACATACCGATTAAGGCTTATGAGTAAAATTATGGAGAATTAATTTAATATTCAGAATTATCGTTTTAATCCATCCAATTAGATATTAAACAGACATAAAAATATTCTTGCCGGCTGTTATTATTTTAAAGTTTGCTGAAAAAGGGGTAACTGTAGTTGTTTCCACCATATAAAAAAAATTTAGTAATTTTCTGACGAGTGTAGGCGTTTTAGTTTGCTAAAGCAACTACGAAGGTAAAAAAATGCGAAATCGCCAAACAAAGTCTCTTTTTTAAACCATAACAGTGAAAAGATCTTCAGGTGTAATGACCTTACAGTTAGCACTTTCCGAAATTCTTACTGGCCATGTCGCACTATAACTGAAAAACCACACTTCATATCTGAAAATTAAAACGCATTCATTAAATTTGCATCGTTGATATACGGTTGCAAAGGTAGTGATATTTAAGGCACATTTCTTCAGTTGCAGCTGATAAATGTGTATAGTCACTCATTATTCGAATGTGGATTGATAGATATTTGTTATGCTTTAAAAACGTATTGGTTGTTTTTCACATTTATGTTTGCTAGTATAAGTGGAATACCTAATATTTATATCATTATTTCCATAAGTATTATTTTATTTCACCAATCGTTTTCTATTTATTTTTAAAAAGTGTTCTCAAAATTTACGTACTGATTAATTTTAAAAGTTTCTGCTATCTATGTGGTGTCAGTGATTATGATACGAGAATGTTTGTTTTAAACGAGATGACTATTATACCATTGGTGCCATACACTTATTGTGTTTTACCTGCTTGCTTTCAAAAATAGTCCTATAACAGCCACGGTAAATTCTTTAGAAGATGAAGGCAGAGCTTCCAAGACATCTTAATCATTTTTCTGCTTTTTTTACTTAAAAAGCTGACGTGAATAAAGATTTCCAAAAAATTTATGTTTGGCTATTTTGTATATCTTGAGAATTTTATCAAGCTCACCTTACTAAGCATAAGGCGAGAAATCTAAACATGAAGTATCAAATTATGTCGTGGATTACAGATGTACTATCCTACTGAAAATAAGATATCAGTTCTGATAAAAGTTGAAAATTTGGAAGGAACGTTAGTGATATTAATAAGAATTCGGCCTTCTCACTACTAGATTAATAAGTTCTATGTGTTTTCTTTAGGGTACCTACTGGAAAATTTATTTTTTTATTGGAGAAGAGTGAAAGTATTTCTTTTTGAGATGAAATAAACCTTTTGCTTATGAAGATAAGTCTTATTAAATGAAAAAGTACAAAAATGATTCCTATGATAAATAAGGTTGGTACGGTATTTTAATCTGAAACCAAGAGTGGTTCACATTTTCATTTTAGATTAATATTGACTTGATTGTCATGCACATCCTTCAGTGGTTATAGACTAATGCAAAATGAGTTCATCATTTGTTCTTGCTATCGATTGAGATCGACTTCAAAACAATCAACATGTATGATAAACTTTTTGTGCAGGCAAATAAGCTGATATATATTTTCAGTTGATTTGTTGCACCAGTGCTACTTATGAAGGCAAAACACAGATGATTTATGCAAATTAATATAAAATTTATGTAAAAGTGTTACAATAAATTCAGTTACTAATCAAACCATAAGTAGTTTCCAGAAAATTATTTGCGAGTTTGAAGTAATAAAACTAAGCCTAAAATCTTAATTAAATAGAAGCAAGAAGAATGGTTTATCCGGAAATAAATTTCAATCGTAAAGAAACAAATCGTTGTTTTTATGTGAAAGGTCCTTTTAAACTATTCACTTGACAACAAACAGTTAATAAAAGATGGGTTTAGAGGTTACCAAATAGGTATGTAAATCTTTTAAAGATAGGAACAGACAGTCATTATGAGAAGGCAGTAAATATTAGTGGGATGAATCTCAAATCTAAATTCATTATGTCGAGTAATAGGTCTTAGTCAGTTTGAAATACTAATTTTAAAAGCTATGTTTAGCCGTTTGTGCAGTTACAAATTCGAAACAATCAACAAACTTAATGTTTAACTCATAAGTATATTATGATTAAACATGTTGTCTACGCTCACATTTTAGTTACACCAGAAAACTATGTTCCTCCTGGATTCAAGCATGCAGATGATACCATTTTCAATTTTGCAGAAGATAACATTAATATACGACTCGGTAATGTGAAAACTGTATGTTAGTATGTGTTACTGAACTAATATTATTTTAATAGATTCATCACAGGTATGTGTTATTTTGTGAAAAAATACTGTTATAGCATCAAGATGCATATACAGACCAGTCGACAGTTATTATCCGGATCTGTAAAATCAACCCAGTCGACACAGGAAGATGAGAGCATGCACGAACTTTCGGTTAGTTTAAGAATTTTATTCAATATTTGTTATATGATATAAACGATTCAGTTGATATTTGTTTTCCTCATGACAAAATGCGGGTTTATTTTGTTATAGGAGGGGGGGTTATACAGAATGAAGGGTTCCTTCGAGTGGGAAGCAGGCATTAAGAAGAAGGCTGTCCCCATGAAAAGCTTTAGTAATGTGAAAAATGCATGTTAGGAAAATGCAAGATGACTAGTATACATGTTAAAATGTCTATTTGATGAAAATAAGTGAGATTACTTTGAAGTTCTGAGTATATGAAGATTGGGAGGAAAGATTTTGAATGAGGTTTATATTATTGGCTGTGGATTAATATTTCATGGATTTCCATCATGATGTAGCTTAAGAGTCAGACAAAACGAAACAACGATGCACATATTAGCCTACTGTTTGTCTATCTCATGAAAAACACATATTATTCCTGAAGGTACAAGAAGTTATGACTTTTGAAACAATATTTCTCCCACTTAAATCAAGATTTTATGACTCATTTCTTATTGAGCGGATGGTTTATGTTGACTGTTTCGAGTTTTTTCACTTTGGACTCAGATTAGGAATTATATTATTGCACACTGAAATAGCGCACGAACGCTAAACCAGTGGATTTCAACCCTGTTAGGTGTAGGCAGCAACTACCAAAGACAAGTGGGTGAGGTCGCACAATATCTGTAGCTTGGTCAGAGTTAGACATTAACAACGCTGGATGCCTGCCCAGTCGTTCAGAGGTTAGGCGTTCGCGCTAAAGACCATATGTCCTGGATTCGAATCCTATGAGGTACAGGAGTCGTGGATACGCACTGCTGATGAGTTCCATACCAGGACGAAACGACCGTCCAGTGCTTCCAGGTTTCTAATGGGGGTCTAATAATGACTGATTGACTATTCCAATGTGCAACAAATACTAATCTCAAATAACTCTAATTGAAAAATTATATTATATCCAATTCGCTTAACACATTTTTATTGAGAATTATATCAACTAAATGTTTTTTATCTCATACCAAGACAAGAACAGCAACCTGAATCTGTATAATATTGTCTCTAATTATGGATCAGAGTAATGTAAGGCTAACTCTTAAGAAGAGTATCATGTTGCTCAAGAAATTGTAACAATCTTAGTTTTGAATAGGTCTAGTTGAACTAAACTAAAGACATAAGTTAGTAAATATTTTGTAAAAACGTTTTATCAGGTATTCAGTCTACTCTTGTTAATTTTTCAAAAAATAAAGACAAGGACAGATGTTTCTTATTGAAATAACTCCAAAAAGTTGCGGAAAACAGTCCATCCACTTTCCATGGAAAAATTCGCTGTAAAAATACACTGAGAATTTCGTAGTTTAAATTTTCTTTGTTTTGACAGTTAGGTTCACTGAACGGAAATAAAGTAAATGAGAAAGTTGATCTCAGTTTATCATCTCAACAACAGACTCTAAGATCTGATGGAAACGAATCAGAAAGTTACGAAGCTCGCTGCCCATGTGGCGTAAATAAGGTAAGTGAACTATAATGAGGTTTAAAATTTAAACTTTAGCAAGAGATTTATTTTTAAAGTACCACATCAAAAGTACTTGTTTATTTATACTCAACTTTTTTATTGTTAGTAACATACTATTCATTAATTCTAAATAATTAAATTGTAAAGTAATAATCATACATCCACATCTATTCAAGGTGTTAACAATCGTAAAATCTCAACTGTGTATGCCCAAAGATAGTGGTTACAGTAAAACTCCATTCTTTCTTAATATCTTAATTATTTGTGTTTCCAACCCTTTTACTCTGCCTTGATCTTTCCCCGCACGTGTCACCACTGTCAGCTGTTCAAATCCACGAAATTTTATAACAATTCTCCCGAAGCCGTATCTCAAACTAAAATTTAAAACAACAGAGTTCATTAGTGAAGACTTTATCGTCCCATGTCAGTGGCATTCTGTGTTTCTAAATCTCATACCAAACGCGAAATATGCTTGTCAGAGTAAATTTATTTAGTTAGTGTGGGGTACCAATGTTACTTTACGGTTGGGTCTTTAAGTGCTTGACAGTCACCTTTCTTTGTTTTGCTGGAATGGATAAGTTCAGAAGTAAGATTGGTAAATCGTAACTGGATCTTAGTCAATCTACGCTTTCTCTCTCCATGTAAAATAGACAGTAGGACTCCAAAAAGAAAAGCAAGCACACTGTTAACTTTCCGTAGTCTGACTGAGTAAGTTTTGGATATGATAAACAAGGAATTCTACATAAAGCTTTTGAGCTTTCTTCGGACAACTAGTCTCTGATACGTAGTGAGGTAACTGCAGCTGATGGTTTTAACGCAGAAAAAAAGCTCAAGTCAAAGTGCGATTTTCGAGCTTACAAAAAAAATGATTTCATTTGTTGCAGACATCCTCAGTAATTCGTTTGTGATGAAGGGGATCAACGGTAATCATACATTGTGACATTGTTTTACCCAGTAACTCAAAACATCGGCTAAGCGATGGGTATATGTGTAATATTATTTTCATTCAGCAACGTAGATATTTAAAAAAATGTGCCATTTATATCTATAGCATATATCTGGACCCCAGTTAAGCTTTTTGGCAAGGACATATCTTCTTAAAATTACATGGCACAGAAATATTGTATCAAGAAACCTTTAGCAAGATAAGTTAGAGGATAAATTTATTAAAGAATAATCCAGACACTCACAGAAACATTAAACGATGTCCATCGTACTTAAGTTTGGGATGTCTAGTCAACCATAGAAGCAACACTGGAAATTTAACCCCAAAGTTAGGAATAAAGCTATCATAATTCTGTCTTCTTTACTCATATGATGAAAACGCAGGAGTATTAAGATGCTGTTTTTGCTTAATAATGCTAAATTCTGCGGCAAGACTGGCTTCAGTTGGTCCAAAACGTGATCCAAAAGAGTGACGTGTTGATCGCTGCACTTATCTATTTGCTAGTGACTGCATTGCACAAAGTACATTTAGTTAGGAAGAGATCTTCGTCCGGTTATAAACAGGATAGTTTACTTAACAGCAACTTTTTCTATTTTGCTTTGTAGTTGGACAAATTAGCAAATAAAAGTAAGAAACAAGCATCAGTTACTGTTATTTGATTACTGATGTCTCTAAAGTAATAGACAGGTATAGTGAAACTTCTAAGTGAATCTAAAATTATTTTTAAAGCATAATGTAAAATGCTATACACGTTGATGGGAAATTCAGCGTCAAGATAGCTGGGAGATACAACATATTCCTATCTATCGTTTATTTCAACGTTAGATGACGGATAGTAGTTCGGAATGAAGACTTTCTGGATGGGGTATGGGCGACCACTGGATTCTATGGTTAAAGATATTAGGGGATACGACTCAAACTTGACTGCAGTAGTTCAGCTGAATTCAGTTTTAATCTTCTACTGAGTACTGAGTTGTGTTATTATTTGATATTTATAATTCGATGTGATTCATTATTTTTGAGTATTGCTTCCTATGTTTTGTTCGATCACTAGAATCAGTAATTCAGTTCATTAAATTTTTATCCTGTTAATTTGTTCCTCCTTTTGTGATGCACAACCCCCGCCTGGAGTCCTTCTAGGGCCACTGACGTTACAAGGCTCATACAATGGGAGAAGGGTACGGCGTCGGTTTGTTGACCTCATTCCGTAGAAAACTAACTCGCTAAAAAACAATAACCAGAAAACATAATTCAAACCATTTTAACTCTTTCCTGGGATTTAGATGGTCTTCATTTAAAAGAGTTATGGTGTCTCATGATGATAGCCGAGTTCCTACGGAAGTCACGAGGCAAATGCCCCTTCTCACAACCAGAGCAACCATTCTTTTAGGTACATGGAATGTTCGGACAATGTGGGAGACCAAAAGACTGTTCCAAATTGCTACAAAGATGAACAGACATAACCTGGAGGTGCTTGAAATTAGTGAAACGCATTGGACACAAGTGGAACAACTAAGACTAGTTTCAGGAGAGCTGCTGTTATACTCTGGCCGTGACGAAGAAAATGCCTCACACACACAAGAAGTTGTACTGATGCTATTTAAACAAGCACTAGAAGCACTGACAGGATGGAAATCTCATGGACTCAAGATCATCAAAGCATTCTTCAAAACAAAGGAAATGGGCATTACAATGAACGTCATCCAATGCCATTCACCTACCAACAACTAGAATGAAGACGTTAAAGATCAATTTTACTAAAGACTGCAGTCAATCGTCGACAGATGCTCACCAAAGGATTCGACGATTCTGATGGGAGACCTAAATGCCAAGGTTGGCATGGAAAACACTAGATATGAAGACGTCATGGGACGACATGGACTGGGAGAAAGGGACGAAAACGGTGAGAGATTTGCAAACCTATGTATTTTCAACAAACTGGTCATCGGTAGCACAATATTCCCACACAAGCGCATACACAAAGCCACATGGATTTCACCGTATCACACTACTCAGAACCAAGAGAGGAGCTGACGTAGCCTCAGATCACCACTTGCCGACCGCCAAAATGAAACTGAAACTAAAGAAGCACTGAACAACAGGGCAGACAACATCACACAAGTTTAATACGGCCTTCTTTGGGGTGTCGTAAAACTCAACGAATTTAAGATAGCCCTCAGCAATAGGTTCCAGGCCTTGGACGATCTACTCAATGGAGAGGTAACAAAGCAGGCAATCACTTCAACATGTCACGAGGTTCTGGGTCACAAGAAGCACCATCACAAGGAACGGATCTCTGTTGGTACCCTTCAAAGAATTCAAGAAAGGAGGAACAAGAAGGCAGCAATCAACACCAACCGAACAAGAGTAGAGAAATCCAACGCACAAGTTGAATACACAGAAGCAAACAGGGAAGTGAAGAAGAGCATCGAAGCCGACAAACGTAAACATGTGCAAGATCTAGCAATGACGGCGGAAAAAGCTGCAAGAGAAGGAAACGTGGGACAACCATATGATATAGCGAAGAATCTTCCTGGAAGATATCGTAAACCAGAACGACCAGTGAAAAGCAAGGAAGGCAAAGTAATCAGCAGCATTGAAAAGCCGTGAAATAGGTGGGTAGAGCACTTTAAGGAACCTTTGAGCCGACCAGCTCTATTGAACCCACCCAACATCGAACGAGGATCTACGGACCTCCCAATCGATGTTAGTCCACCGACAATTGCAGAGATCAGTATGGTCATTAGACAAATCATGGGCGGCAAAACGGTGGGACTTCGTAGACGCCGAACCTCGAGATCAACAGGCTGGATTTCGTAAGGATCGATGGTGCATCGACCGAATTGCAACATTACAGATCATTGTGGGACAATCGATTGAATGGAACTCACCACTCTATATCAACTTCATTGACTATGAGAAAGCATTTGATGGCGTGGGCCGGACAAAACTATGGAGACTTCTTCGACACTAGGCATGCCTGAGAAAATAGTCAACGTTATGCAGAATTCTTATAACGGATTAAACTGCAAAATCGTGCACGGAGGACAGCTGACAGAACCGTCCGAGGTGAAGACCGTTGTCAGGCAAAGTTGCTTACTCTCACCCTTTCTCTTTCTCTTGGTGATCGAATGGATTTTGAAGACGTCAACATCTGGAGGGAAGCACGGTATCCAATGGACAGCTAGGACGCATCTAGACGGTCTAGACTTCTCAGATGACCTAGCTCCTCTATCGCAAACACGACAACCAATGCAAGAGAAGACGGCTAGCGTAGCAGCAGTAGGTCTCAGCATATACAAGGGAAAAAGCAAGATTCCATGATATAACGAAAAATATATCAACCAAATCACGCTTGATGGAGAAGCTTTGTAAGTTGTAGAAATCTTTACGTACCTGGGAAGCATCATTGACGAGCAAGATGGATATGATGCAGATATGAAGGCGCAGATCGCCAAAGAAAAGGCGGCGTTTCTACAGCTGAGGGAATTATGTAACTCAAAACAACCAACACTAAAGTCACAATTTTCAATACAAATATCAAGAAGGTTGTACTGTATGGGGCCTGAACTTGGAGAATTATGAAAGCTATCATCCGAAAGACACAAGTGTCCAATAATAGTTGTCTACGCAAAATACTTCGGATTTGCTTGTCAGATACTCTCAGTAATAACATACTGTGTGAGATGTCAAACCAGATACTAGCGGAGGAATAAATCAAGAAGAAGCGTTGCAAGTGGGTAGAACACATATACGACAGGCCCTCACCTGTAATTATCAAGGCCAACGGAAAAGCGGAAGACCGGGAAACCTATTACGCGGAGAAATGGAGACAAACATGATAGGAATGAACAGTAGACTCATTAGATAGGTTAATGCCAGGCATCAACCACCTCCATGGCAATGTCAGCATTAATGCAAGTGGAGAAAACTTGTAGCTCAGGTGGATGATTGTGGTGGTGTTTCGTTCTCTGAGCTGGTTGTTTGTTGTTGTTGCTCAGAGAACGAAACACCACCACAATTAATGCAAGTCAAATACATCATTAGATAGCGACACAGTAATCCATACTCTATTGCAAGTAGAGTTCAGCGGATCCCCTGGTAGAGAGACCCTACTGATAACGTCCATAACTATCAAAGTTCCTCCCGAAGAAACAACTTTCGTGGCTGGTAGGAGCATCTTTCAACTTAATAGTTGATATGCTGCATCAATCAATGAGTTTTGCAGATGATGATGATGAGTCATCCAGACGAAAACTGTGGTTATTCTTGCTCTTTTTGACATAAGTTTGCAGTTGTGATTGAATCCAATATCTAGAACAGAGTAGCATTCAAATACAGACTGTAGGTTTAGAGTCCATCGAGTTCGTTTATGAATGTTCGAGGTCCTGTGTGCTGACTCCACAAAAGCTGCAACTGTTTAGCTACGGGCAAAAATACAGTTGAATATTTGTGATGCTTTGCTTAAGCCTGGTTTTGGATACATGTGGAGGGATGGATTAACGTCTCTTATCAGTTCTAGGCACATTTGGAATCTACAGTGCAACCTGGCTTACAGAAATACTGTTTACCTGTCAACTTCTTGGTGTAGATTAGGCAGAAAAAGTTTACAGAACTTCCTAATGCAACTTTTAAAATCTTATTAACAGTTATATATAAGGTAATAACTAACATGCCTTTCTAATAACATTGCACGACGCAGTAAGTGATGCGAATCCGGTTACAGCATCATGATTAAGAAAACGACGGCCGGTGAATCGTCTGTCACAATCTCTATAAGGCTTCTGTTACTCCTGTGAAGAAATATAGGCACGAATTTATCACTGTCGTTGTTGCTCTACGGATAAAGGAAAAACAAAATGTTTTTGGAAATTAAGTTCATGTCGGGTACAACAATTTGATAAAGATATGGCTTTCCGTTCCTCATTTTATAGGTTCTATCTAAATCGACAGCTTCATGCTAAAGATTCGTTAAGTTCCTTTGATCCACAGCTGCCAAGATACAATGATGCAACTCAGTATCTTAATCCGAGGGGAACTATATAGCTTGTGAGATTTCATAACTTTAGTTTAGTCGTTAACATCAAGACAACATTTACCTGGAGTATTACCCTGAGAAAATGCATTATGCCTCGAATTAAAAACATTCAGAATGAGGAGTATACATAATGCACCGTGTTAGATACAACAGTGCTTGAAATCAGTAAAAGTATGATAGATTACAGCTCTGTTTCTGTTGACTTCCGATTCCATGAACTGCATCTTTGGTTGGGGTTCACGTTCCCACAAATTACAGTCCAGTATCCATCCTCCTCTTCCAACAATATAAGTGTTGGACAATTTCCGTAAGTGCATGAGTAGGTGAGAGTACTAAATCTAAACCACGGTCTGTTTTATGTTATTTCACTATAGTAATTTGATCAGATTTAGATTTATCGTACGTTTTATGCTGTACGCGACTGAACAATCTACTAGTTAAAGAGATTATATTTTTCTAGCATATACATTTAAGTTGCTAGTTTGTCAGTAGTGTTAATATTTCTGATCATTTCGAACGATATTTAATCACTACTTTTGCTTTAATAAGATCCCAGCAACATTTCTTTCCTCAGATATTTAACTTCCGGATAATCGCAAATGATCCATGTATGTTTAAATGCATAACCGTCACTTTGTTTGGTTATGTCTGGAGGAGAGTTGTTTTTAGTCTGAATACAATTGGTCTTATTTAGGAGAGGGCATCTAAATATTTAGGCACCAAACAAATTACTGGATTTATGAGATGCTGTCCGGACGCCGAACGCGAAGCAGGTGGTTTTCTCAGGAGTTCACCCTGTGGATCTTTGACCAAGAAATCCAATCCACAAGGCGGCGGGGCAACATCAGGTGATTCAGTCCCGTAGTAGCCGGTTGCCAACCATAGGTTCATATGCCATTCGTTTCATCAGGATCCTGGAGCCCATGTGCACCAATGGTTTCGAATCAGAGTTTTCCAACTCCCCTAAGTGGATGTTCTATGCTGGCCAAGCGGATCAAAGCGCTATCCTCTGAATTTGGTAAAAAACACCGTCATGAGAAGAGAGTGTGTAGGGCTCTCCTGTCAGAGGCTCTGTATGACTGGCCATATGAGAGCATCTCGATAACGAGAGCGGAATCCTCCTAATCTCGACCGCATCAGGGCATTTGAGAGTAAACAGCAATATAAATATTACTTAGCTATCTTTCGCGAATTGATGGGCTTGGGCCGTTTGAAATAAGTGTTGATGTTCAATATTTATTCGTATTACTGAGCAAACCACCACTTGAGTTGTATGTAAATTTCCACTGTATCGCAAAATGTACAACTGACGATTCATACTGATCAGAACCTATTTACATTTCTGTAGCTTAGGTTGTTTAAGTTAGAGTCCTCCAGCTTACTTAACTAATCATTTTTGCATAAAAATAATCTTTTAAGTAATTCACTCTACTAATGATTGTCCTGCAGTTTGCCATTTGTAAACTTTGACTGACGGCATTGCGTTATGACATTTCGAAGTGCATGTTAAAACGGTCAGTTAATTCAATCAGAATAAACAGGTTTGTAAATCTAAGTTTAAAGAAAACCTAACTGAAAAAGCGTTATTCTATTGAATATAAAAACTGTTTAGAACCCAGAAATGTACAAAAATTGAATGGGATTGACCCATGCTACTGAATTGCTAAACTGACAAACTCCTCCTTCAATACTTTTGTTTAAAAAAGTTATGGGGATTTTTATTATTTATTGAAACAAAACTTCGAAAATGATCTGGCCGACATAATGATCATGCAATTATGGTGAGTTCTTTTTCTTATATAAGTAACATAAATCTCTACCCATCTATGCAACTTCTGTTTATTACGAAGTTTTTAAAGTCACGTTAGTAACTGAATCTTTTTGTCATATCTTAATCTTTTACCAAAATTAAATTATTTCGGTTTCACCAACGTAAGTATATAGTGTGCTTAACATTAAGCTATATTTCATTTTGTCATTGTAAAATGAAGTCACTTTGTTAATTAGTACGATTAACATTGTAAATGGATGGATTAACTACTGAAGTATAAGTTCGGTAAGCCAAGTACAAAATCAATTCAATCGGGCGTTTTTATGAAAGTTAATTTGTATAACAACAAAGCGTATTCACTTCTCAATATTTTGTGACCTGGTATTTTTGACAGTTTATAATTACATCAGTCGATATAGGATAAGTTAACTAAAAGAATGCTTTTATGACTACAAAAGTTGATTAGTTCATTTTGAGGTTTCCTAATAGATGAAAATAACTAGAAATGTTTAGAAATAAGCGTTACTGTAAATCACTAAATGATTTTACACTTAAATTATGTTTTAAAACGTTCACGAAAAATGGATAACAAGAAACAATTATCAATAAGGTTAATACTGATTTCACATTTATTAAATATTAAGATTTTCACTATAGCTTTGTATTTACGATACATAAAGCAAAACGTTTAGTGCGCAATAATAGCTCGACTTGACAATTTGCTAAATCAGTCGTGAACTTCAGTCTTTGTAAGTAAATGATCAAGACACGAGTTTATAATTTACTATATGAGATTTCGTACTGTTATTACACTTTAAAACAAAAAACATAAACGACCTAAAACGTTTTGATTTCTTTAGGACGATGGTGTGATGATTTTATGTGATGGGTGCGATAAATGGCAACATGCTGTATGCTTTCGAATTCTAGAAGAAGGAGATGTTCCTACATCCCATGTGTGTGAAATCTGTGCTAAATTGCAGGTATTACCTACTACGCTTTTTAAATAAGTGAAATCGTTTCTACTCATTTAGCAAACGCCTGTGGATACGATTGAAATTTCGTAAGTTTTTATGACATCGTCAGCGCTCAATAAGAATATCAGGACAAACAGAAACTCTGGTATAATTTTTCTTGAATTACAACTCCTTTGATTCCGTTGAATAATGAGAAGTAAATTTTGGAATTCGCTACATTTAGATAAACATTTATAAGCTAGCTACTTTTGCGTCTAAAAGTGATCAAAGTAAAAAATCTACTTCAAGAAACGTTGTGAATATAGTTACATTATTCGGATCGACATGTTACTAATATCAAACTTTGTTTCATTCTATTCAGTTTTAAATCAATAATTATGTAAACGAATTTCAACTATCTGATCCTCACATTTGCTGGACGTGTTAAAACACCGAATCCAATTTCTAGCATATAGTTTTCACTGTGAAAACAGAATCCCTAAATTGTGTATTCAGTTGTAAAATGAGTGAAAAGTTACTGAATATTTCACAAACGTAGTGTAGTGCACTATGAAAGTATTTTCTTAAAAGAGCAAAGTTATAAGTAGTGAGAAGCATGTAATAATTGAATTAATAAATGGTCGGAAAATGAATCTAACTAGTGACTAGCTTCTTGAGGAAATTCTCTGAATTCTAGTGAGAAGCCGTGTCCAGTGGAGTTTAACCCTATCGCGTGTGGGTGGCTACCCACTGAAGACAATGCATTGATTAAAGTTAGACATTACCATAGCTGGATGCCAGCTCAGTGGCTTAGAGTTTAAATGTTTGCACGCGAGACCGAAGGTCTTGGCTTCGATTACTGCGAGCAGGGATTGTGGATGCGCAATGCTGATAGGTCCCATTCTAGGAAATAAAACACCCGTCCAGTTCTTCCAGGTTTTTATTGGTGGTCTAGCATTGATCGATTCACGATTTCAATGAAACTCAACAGTCTTCACAACTCCATAATGAAAAAATGAACCATCCTGACAAATGTTTTACTAGCAGTAGAATCCTGGACGCGTGTTTCATCCAAGTTGAAATTGTACATCTGTGTTTATTTCCGCACAAGGACGCTAAAGGTACGTTAGCTTCAGAAGTCCAATGCCTTACACACCAAGATGTTGAGTTCAGTAGTCTATTAACATATTCCACGGCTATGATGTTTATATGATTACTAAAAATTGTTTGAATTATATCGTTGTTAATATTCATAATTGAATTCAAACCAGTTCATCATTGCTTGACAAGTATTTGATCAGTATCAAATGTGTATGCCTTAGGATTTCAAAAATAACTAATTGATCATCCGTAAATCTCCTTTATGAATAATTTCTATGACTTTAAAAGTATGTGGTTAAAATCTTTTTTTATACATTCATTTGACAAAAATATTAGAGATTAAGTTATTTTAACCTTGGATAATTTAGCCTGAACTGCTTCAAACTGGAGGACTCACAGATGAAACTATACAAAATTTGAGTGTTGAAGCTAGAAAGGTAGGTCACTGATGTGGATAACGTGTTTTCAGTAGATTTATCATCAGAGTTGCTTAATAAAAGTTTTGTTTAGAATACTGATTTAGATGGACAGTATATCTATGGAAACTAAATCTATTGCTGATGATAGCTAACAATATTAATGAAGGAACCATCAAAGGTGTAAAAAACCAAATGTCCTATTCAAAGGAACTAGTTCAGGAATTCGTTGACATTATCATCAGTATTCAATAACAAACGTGTAACTTATGATTATATTTTATCACTGTGAAATCTATCATCAAATAAGGGCAAATCGAAATTCCGGTTAGGTATGAGCAGTCTTATTCTTACAATACAGCTGATCCCCTTTAGATTAAGTGATAAATTTTGCTTTATTCATCAGAAGTATTTGATCACCCTTATTAATAACTTGAGAAAGTTTGTTCATTTGGTTTTTCATGGAACATCCCAATGATTCATCTGATATTTGGAACATTTTAAAATAACCGCCATAAAATCTAAAATGATTAACTATAATCATAATAAAGGTTTTGTAGACTTTCAAACTGACTATCGAACTTTTCCTTACAAAAGTAGTAGAATATTAATGAACTTAGATCTCTGATTTTGAAGTTTTTCGGAGACAAAATAGAAAGAAGTTAGGTTTATAAGTAAAAGGTTTTATGAGTTTTCTAACAACAGATATACTAGACCGTAAAGCAGTTTTTGTATTATTCAATTAGTGGAAAAATAGTCAATGAAGTTTAACAAACCAACTGTACTATCTTGCTGTCCTTGTTTAAACATAAATGTCTTTATCACTGAAATGGATTGTCTATGGTAACAGTTTTTCTTTGTGCATTTATACCTACATATAATAAACGTAACAATTTGGTTTATTCTAGGGAAACATATGGGTGAATATTAGAGGACGTAAAATTATCAGTAGGAATTAAATCAACAACTAATTATACTTTTTGGATTAGAAATACATGAAAGATTAAACGAGGGTTATTTCACATGGTTTAATTCTCTCAATATTTTTCTAACTTCTTGTTTGATATTTGTGAAGATAGATATTACAAGGAATAAAAAAAATTTGTACGTTCTTAAGTTCTAAAGTCAATTGTACGTAACTTAAGCAAATTGATAAGAGTGAATATTTTTTAAAAAATACATGAAACATGCACAGAAGGAACGTTAACACTGTTTAAATTTTCCCAGGCAACTTGCCTTTTTCGACGAGCATTAGCACTGTGTCTCAACGAAGATTCAGTCTCACCCGCCTTTATAGCCAGAAGTCTTGGAGTGGAGTATACGGTGGCTCGTGGATTATTCAGTCGTTTAATCAAAGAGCAAGTTGTAAAAGGAGCAGGACCACGAAGGTAAGACGTTCTCTTAGTGGTAAGCTCACATTAAAATAAAATTTTGAAATTTTTTAAAAATATCCTGTATATTGCTGAGCAAATATGTAACATGTCAGACCTATCCATAAAATTAGATAAATGTATGATTTATGAAAAAAAGAAGGCTGTGACATAATGTAATATGAAACAATAAAATAATATATTTGTTCATTTCTACACTTATGAGACCTATTCTTTCATGTAGATTATTACCATTATATGTCAGAAACTACTAGTTCAAAATAATGCAGACAGTAAAATTAAACTATACTATGAAGTAAACCACACAGTAACTTCAAACACGGATAAATCAAAATTTTCCGTAGCAGTAATAATAACGTAGTTAATTAGTGTTCATTTGCTCTATTTTAGAGGTGAAAAGCTTGTCGAAAAAGAATATTTAGAAAATATTGTGTGTCCGCGTTTCTTCTCTTCGAATAATTTGCATGGGAAATCATCATTGGGATTTGTGGTAAGTAAGACTCAAATAAATGAACATGTTGGGGGTAAATTTTATAACCAAGACAGACAATACATAGAGTATTTTGAAATTTAAAAACGGCTCTATGGACCAGAAGTGTCTTCATGAGGAAGCCATTTGATGACAAGCATAAATGTCCTAAAGGACGAATACATGCGTATCATTGTTCAAGAAATAAATTTATTTTCTAAAAGGGTAAAACAGAGTATTTGTACACATAACGCTGTAACCGAATACACTTTTTCTTATGCTCTTGCCCTCTCGATGAAGTGGCTAGTTTGGGGCGTCATCACGTATCAGACATCCATACCCGGACATCATACCACTGAGGTCTTCTAAGAGTCAATCTTGAAATTCCATCTCAACAATTTATACAAGGAGCACTAACCAAATTTCGTCATGATTTAAAACTCCTCAAAGCCGCGCTTTTTAGATTTCAAACCGGAATAAAATGACTGGACAGATTTTCATGATTTTGAAAGGTTTTCTAATCGACCGTGATCATTAAAGGAACATATCTGAATTCTTTATTGAATAATCTCATAGGATCATTCGCATTCGGTTAAAATAATCTAAACAACAATTATTCTGAGTATTAAACTAGGAATATTTTCACTACATTAGGTTTCCCCTCAAATGCTAACGCCTCAAAAACCGAATACAATACGACGGACGCCTGGGGTGAGTTTAGTTTGCATATCAAATTGAAAGTTTTGGACAGCTGATAATAATTCGAATTTATGAAATATCTTACATTATTAAAATGTTCAATCTTATAGAAATTCATCTATGTAAAAATTTGTGACGTATTCAATAAGTTCAGTTTTTAAAGGAAGATATCGTTTATATTAGATCATCAGTAAATTGCAGTTAACTGAAAGGATTCAACAAGCAAAATGTAGCCTGGTCTACCACGGCTCTTGGTATCCACATGCTTGTCCTCTGCTGTTTGGGCCTTGAAGAGCCTAGATGGCGTCTGGTTCTCCTGAAAAACGATGTATGATCACACTCTCGTAGTTTATATTCATGCGACCTCTGACTTATCAATAAGTTGTTTTTTCCCATCTTTGACTGAGCACTTTGTTTTGCGTTGGTGTTTCAATATTACTTTGAAACTATTACATTTTAATAAACTGCTATAAACTTAAATGATTTGATTGTGAATTGAACCGTAGTAGAAAGGTTTATGTGCCTCAAATAATTATTAAGCCTGAGAGATTAAAGCTGGTAATTATTTCTACGGCGATCGAAATTTTAGTTAGCAAAAACATGGTAAGTTGTTTAGAAGAGCTAAGTATTTCTATCAAAAATTATCATGCAATGAACAACTAAAGAATCTTACCTGACTTTATGGTCACGTTATGTTAACAAGTACCCGTAAGACTGCGAACAGCTAGTGTCATTCATGTAGTAAGTGTACCACGGTTTATATCTCGATAATGCGCACAGCACTTGCAACGGAAAAATTATTCAATTAATTTTTATTGGATAAGTTGCCCGACCGTAGCTGCTACCTTGACGTAGTGGTCGGGCTTGCCTATCGTGATGACTCAACCGAGCTATATTGGCTGGAGCATGTGTTCCTTTAGGTTCTACAATTCCATTTAGGTCAATTGGAGAACAGTAAGACTAAAAGCAGCAACTCAAGGTCTGAGGGTGGAGTTGTACTGCAGACTGTAGAGGGGTGTGACAGCAGTAAGGTGTTTCCCTCGGACAATCAGCATCTGCAGAGATGCTTCCTTCTCATAAGGAAGAAAGGGGTTAGGAAAGGTCGATTCTAAAAACTTCACACCTCACCTTACCTCACGGACTTCTGTCTCCGCAGGTAAGGCCTTTAGAAGAGCGGAGCTAGCACTTTAAAATCTCATAAAAGAACCATGCTCAACCGGCCTCAAGCAGTTGTATCCTGGGCTCTGCAGTCACGCTCTCAGTTCTCTAAGATCAACGCTAACCCAATTTCCTTTACAGGTTCTTCAAAAAACATCTTTCCATGATGTGGGCAACCGGGAAGTGACATTCGCCGTCGCACGCGTTACAACACGCGAGACCGAATTGGTCATGATAGAATCCTTCATATACCTCTTGATAACTTTCTTGTCCTCACGATCAACTCTTTCTTTCATTCCTTTATCATCTTGCGCCGCCGATACAAACGATTCGAGTACATGGAACGTTATTCCTGGTCTCCTAAAACCCCGTTCTAAACTACAAGTTGGAACCTTTTATGTTCGGACCTTGTGCCAAATCGGACAACAAGCTTCTCTAGCTATGACTATAGAATCTCGCGCCATCGATGTGTGCCGCGTCTCCGAAAAGCGCATGCAGCATCTGAGTAGGATCATTAGTTTGATTCGGTTTAATGACGACTGTCTGCAGCAGCTATGCTCAGATAACCGACTATTTTTAGAAAATACTAACTTTAAGCGTAAGGGAAAACATCTTTTGATATGGTGACCCTCAAAATTAACTCAACTTGACCACATTGCTATCAGCCATCGGTGGAGAGGCTCGATAGAAGACTGTCAATCGTTCTGGGGCATATGTTTAGATTCAGATCATGCTCTAGTACGAGCGCGTATTTGTCCGCGTCTTACTAAACGTGGGAAAAACGCAGAAAGGAAGACCCTTAGAGTTCTACTAAGCGATAGTAAAGCCAAGAGTACATCTCAAGAGCAAATGGAAAAACAGTTTGGCAGCCATGTAAATGATGCCCACCCCGAAGCAGCTTGGAATATCCAAAAAGCTGTAGAAACGGCAGTGTTATCTGCCGGTAAGGTAAACCATAAGGTTAGGGAGAAGCAGTGGATATCACTAGTATCTACTGAGCTGATAGATGCTCGAAAACTCAATCGGTCTGGCCCTGAGCATGATAAGCAGTGGAGTTAGCTTGAGCGCAGGCTGATAAAAGGTCTACTCAATGATCGTGAACGGTGGTGGGTAGCGAAAGCAAAAGAGATGGGATCCTCGAGACGATAATAACTGATGGTCAAATACTTTGAATGACATGGCTCGAAATCGTTTGCATGGCGCAGATGCATCCATTCTTTGTCTTCTCTCAGGATCTTTTCTTAGCTCTCTAGATTTATTTCACTGTGATATACTTCTTAAACAATTTCTTCGAACCCTAATCTTTCCCATTATCACTAATACTTACATTACCCCTACTGCTACGGGATTTCAATTGACACTAAGATCTCTGTGCTAGTGTTCTGGCTACTTGAACTGATGTATGTACGTACGAAGTTCCACACCTTAGCTGACTGACTGAATAGGTGTTACCATAGATTCGACGTTCTCTGATATGCTTTTACGCTGATTGTCTGGTTGGCACTTGAATAATGATAAACATGTTCTTTTTGTGGCTTGTTGCGCGAGGACGCTTATATTGCACCTTGGTTCTATGAATTTTAAACAGAGCGCATACACCAGATTATAATTCTGAGTCCTAACACTAACTTCGTTTGGGAATGTAATCAACAGTAAATAACAAGGCATTTGAACAAAGTCCATAAACCTAGAGATTTTGATAGATTCAGTACGAAATATCAATACTGGGTAAGTAAAATCGATTATTCGTTTTTGGTCATTTACTTTTAGAAGCGTGCTTATGGAGCATCAAAGTTTTCGCCGAAAAAAGAATGCGATTTGGTAGGTCTACAATTTTGTCAATCTAAATAGTCATGAAATGAGTTATGTTGGGCTATTGAATCTTCTATAGCAGTGAATTTCCTTAATTTGTAAAGTAAAAAATGCTTAGGTTAATTAAACAGATTTTTCACAATAAGCAGTGTTATTTCGATGGATTTGTTTTGACATGACCAGTTTTAAATTCCACATCTCTGCATGCTTAGCGGACAATTGTTTTACGTTATTATCTGTTGAAACACGAAATCCCTCAAACTATTAATATCATTTTTGAAAACATGAAACTTATGGTTGGACCAGTTATATAGAGATAAGCCCTGTCTTTCGCTGAAGGGATAGAAGAATCAAGTTTGTTTTATCTTTTACGTACTACTGTCATGATTTCTGGATATAAAAATCTTTTTATGCGTAACCATACTAATCCGAACATTCTGACACGTGCTTAGTATGTTACTGTAACAAAACATAAGAATTACGATTCATAACTACATATTCTGAGAAATATTTAAGGTAATTCTTTTTTAATTTGGTCAACTTGATGAATAACGGATGGCAAACTTAGTTAAGATAATGTAAAGAATTCCTTATTAATAACAAAAAGCTTATTTCCAAAAAACTCCACCAGTAGAACCTTAGGGGCTACTGCCGGTCCCAAGCTCGGGTAAAGGAGGAGGGTTGGACATGGGGTCGGCGACCCCATTCCGTCAAAAACTAACTTGCCAAAAAAACGCTAACCAGAAAAAATAATTCAAACCATTTTAACTCTGCCCTGGGAGTTGGAAGAAGAATTATGACGTTGCGAGATGAAAGTCCAGTTCCCTCGGAAGTCACGGGGCCGATGCCTCTTCTGACAACCAGAGCAACCATTCTTTTAGGTATATGGAACGTTCGTACATTGTGGGAGACTGGAAGACTATTTCAAGTTGCGGCAGAAATGAAAAGATACAACCTCGAGGTGCTTGGAATCAGTGAAACACATTGGACACAAGTAGGACAACTGAGACTAGCTTCAAGAGAACTGCTGTTATACTCTGGTCATGAAGAGGAAAATGCTTCACATACACAAGGAGTTGCACTGATGCTGTCCAAACATGCACAAAAGACACTGATAGGATGGGAATCTCATGGACCGAGGATCATTAAAGCATCTTTCAAAACAAAGAAACAGGACATTACAATGAACGTGATTCAATGCTATGCACCTACCAACGACTGCTATGACGACGTTAAAGATCAATTCTACGAAAGGCTGCAGTCAATCGTCGAGAAATGTTCACCAAAGGATTTGACGATTCTTATGGGAGACCTGAATGCCAAGGTTGGAATGGACAACACTGGATATGAAGACATCATGGGACGACATTGGCGGCACAATATTCACACACAAACGGGAATACAAAACTTCATGGATTTCACCAGACCACACTACTAAAAACCAGATTGATCATATCTGTATCAACAAAACGTTCATAAGGACCATGGAGGATGTGAGAACCAGGAGAGGAGCTGATATAGCCTCAGATCACCATTTGCTGATCGCCAAAATGAGACTGAAACTAAGGAAGCACTGGACAACGGGACAGACAACATCACAGAAGTTTAATACGGCCTTTCTTCGGGATACTGTAAAGCTCAACGAATTCAGGATAGCCCTCACCAATAGGTTCCAGGCCTTGCACGATTTACTCATTGGAGAGGACCCAACATTGGAGAACAATTGGAAAGAGATCAAGGAGGCAATTACTTCAACATATCAGGAGGTCCTTGGTCGCAAGAAGCACCATCACAAGGAATGGATCTCTGTTGGTACTCTTGAAAAAATTGAAGAAAGGAGGAACAAGAAGGCAGTAATCAACGTCAGCCGAACAAGAGCAGAGAAAGTTGCCGCACAAGCTGCATACACAGAAGCAAACAGGGAAGTGAAGAAGAGCATCAGAGCTGACCAACGAAAATATGTGGAAGATCTAGCAATGACGGCGAAAAAGGCTGCAGGAGACGGAAACTTGAGACAATTGTACGAAACAACAAAGAAGCTCGCCGGGAACTATCGTAAACCAGAACGACCAGTGAAAAGCAAGGAAGGCAAAGTAATCAGCAACACTGAAGAACAGCGAAATAGGTGGGTAGAGCTCTCTAAGGAACTCTTGAATCGACCAGCTCCACTGAACCCACCCAACATCGAAGCAGTATCTACGGACCTCCCAATTAATATTGGCTCACCTACAATAGAAGAGATCAGTATGGCCATCAGACAAATCAAGAGCGGCAAAGCAGCAGGACCAGACAACATTCCAGCAGAGGCAATGAAAGCAGATGTAGAAGCAGCTGCGAAAATATTTCACATCCTCTTCAAGAAGATTTAGGATGAGGAACAAGTGTCATCAGATTGGAAAGAAGGATACCTCATCAAAATACCAAAGAAAGGCGATCTCAGCAAGTGTGAGAACTACAGAGGCATCACTCTTCTTTCAATAACAGGCAAAGTCTTCGACAGGGTATTGTTAAACAGAATGAAGGACTTCGTAGACGCCCAACTTCGAGATCAACAGGCCGGATTTCGTAAGTATCGATTGTGTACTGACCAAATTGCTACATTACGGATCATTGTGGAACAATCAATTGAATGGAACTCACCACTCTACATCAACTTCATCGACTACGAGAAAGCATTCGATAGCGTGGATAGGAAAACACTGTGGAGGCTTCTTCGACACTACGGGGTGCCTGAGAAAATAGTTAACATCATACGGAATTCTTATGATGGATTCAACTGCAAAATCGTACACGGAGGTCAGCTAACAGACTCTTTCGAGGTGAAAACCGGTGTCAGGCAAGGTTGCTTACTCTCACCCTTTCTTCTCTTTCTCCTGATGATCGACTGGATTATGAAAACGTCAACATCTGGAGGGAAGCACGGTATCAACTGGACAGTTAGGACGCAGCTGGACGATCTGGACTTCGCAAATGACTTGGCTCTTCTATCGCACACGCAACAACAAATGCAAGAGAAGACGACCAGTGTAGCAGCAGCCTCTGCAGCAGTAGGTCTCAACATACATAAAGGAAAAAGCAAAATTCTCCGATGCAGCACAACATGCACCAACCAAATCACTCTTGATGGAGATGCCTTGGAGGACGTTAACACCTTTACATATATGGGCAGCATCATCGACAACCATGGTGGATCGGATGCAGATGTGAGGGTGCGGATTGGCAAAGCAAGGGCTGCATTTCTACAGTTGAAAAATATCTGGAACTCCAAACAACTTTCAACCAAAACCAAAATCAGGATTTTCAATACAAATGTGAAGACAGATTTACTGTATGGAGCGGAAACATGGAGAACTACGAAAGGCATCATCCACAAGATACAAGTGTTTATTAACAGTTGTCTACGCACAATACTTCGGATTCGTTGACCAGACACCATCAGCAACAACGAACTGTGGGAGACAACAAACCAGATTCCAGTGGAAGAGGAAGTCAGGAAGAAGCGGTGGAAGTGGATAGGACACACACTACGAAAAGCACCTAACTGCGTCACTAGACAAGCCCTCACATGGAACCCTCAAGGCAAAAGGAATAGAGGAAGGCCAAAGAATACATTACGCCGAGAAATAGAGAAAGATATGAGAGGAATGAACAAACATTGGACAGAACTGGAGAGAGAAGCCCAAGACAGAGCTGGTTGGAGAAAACTGGTGGGCGGCCTATGCTCCATTGGGGGTAACAGGCGTAAGTAAAGTAAGTTATTTCCTAAATCTTGTTAATTCACATGTTCATTTGAGCTTTGATTCATACTACCAGTCAGTAACTCGTGACCATTTCCTCTATACTTATTTAAGATTAGTTAGGAAACGCGTGTTATTGTGAGAGAACTTATCATTCAGTGTCAATACTTACCTTCATCATAAATATCTCATGATTATGCAAATTAAAGTAATGCCACATGTCTTTATTTTATTTAAAATATATGACAGAAATTATTTTATATTCGTAACGAACTACATGTTTATTAACTTGCCAGTTACTTAATGTCAGTGAAGACCCAAGAGCATCACCAACAATCAATAAAAGAAGAAAAATGGATATGGCAAACACACCAATAAGCGTGTTCCGTCAGTGAAAATGTGTTCACTGATATCGTTTTGTTTTCGAGTCGCGCTTATAATACAATCATACTTTAAAGATATAAATATGGTTTATATGATGTTTTACAAACAAATATACAGTTTATACTAAAAGTTTTTCTGAAAGTTAACCAGTGATTTTCCTCAGCTAAGCATAAAAATATACGATGTTTATTTTTCACGAAGTGGCTAGTACGAGCCTTTCAGTAAACAAAAGCTAGTGATGTATTCAACTGTTACACATAACCTTCATGTGATATATATCAAGTAAAATATATTGGCGTACTGGATAATTTAGGACGACCCAGTTTGTGCGCTAATTCGGATCAAATGCGATTCGGTAAATTAAGTAAATCTACATAGCCTATTCAGTGAACCTTTTCAAATCGTTTTAAAAGAGATCATATTTTCTGAACTGCAACAGCGTTTTCAACCAACAATCTTTTAAAGACGGATGTCCTAATCAATTGGAACTTATCGCCGCTGTAACTTCGAGTGGCAGGTAGCACTGATTGTACCGAATGGAAAGCTTAGTAGGAAAATAATCTAGTCTGTTTCAAATAGAGTATAGTTAAAACACGAATATGTGTTTAAAAATGATTGAAATTTTTGAAAGCAGGGTGAGTTGCAGTGTGTAAGTCATCCCAACATTATTATCCGAATTCTACATGAGTATGTAATAGGAATATATTAACAGAAGCATAATTTGGCATAAGCACTAAAAATAAGTTGGCTGGCTACTAAACATGCTAATCTGAAGGAAAAAAAGTTACATAAGCTAACCAAAACAACGAGAACAAAGCAGTAGTGAACATTGAAGAATAAAGTAAGTGGGACGATAAGCCTCTTCTGTTGATGTTAGTCCATAACTTTCATCTACATGAGAAAATAAATACAGATTTGCATAGCTCAGATTAATGGTTAAGTAACTCACAAATAAGCCGTGTTCTTTTTTCGATGCCTGCAAAGGTTTTGTGCTAGACATTCCCAGGGTTTGTGTACACTGAATATTCTGTAATCAGCTTTGTATGAAATATGACCTGATGATCCAAACATAGTTAGTCACCTTAGTAATATTGAAATGTGAATCATTAACCAACTGCATTTTGCGTTTCACTAGAGTCAGATTGCTTGTGTGAGAGCTAGCGATACTAACGAATTTTATACGCCAAAACATTTAAAACGAGACTCAAAATTATGACCCATTGGTTGAAAAGCGATGACTTCAACCAGTGTGCTAGAACTCTATTTTAACCATAATTTACAACTTTGGGAATAAAACTGTGGGTTTACTAGGAAGGAATTGAAAGTATCGATATTTTTCTCATCTTTGTGTTTGTTATTGGTGCCGTGTAAATGCAGTAGCACAAAGTATATAGGATCTGAATGGGATGGGTGTCTTTTCAAACAAAACATAGACCTTCGGTTATCTTTGTTAGCTAACAAGAAACAGAGATCATCCGAGTATTTAAAGTAATCGTTTAATTGATCTTTAGGAACAGAAGCATGTCTGTAGATACATTTGACATGGGTCGCAATCAACGACTGATACTTCAAATAATGTTTATCATAGAAGGTTCAAAAAATAATGTACACAAAAGTTTGCTAACAAATAGGTGGGTTTTGAAAAGTCAAATCCACTAAAGATCATATATCTGAAACACAATATTGTCAAAATTCCTAGTGATTTGATTAAGTTTTTTTTTCATTAGTTGGTTTCCAAGTTGTCATTCTACGTCATTCAAAACAAGCTATAAAAGTTTCATCATAATCTGATGGAATATTTTCGTTCACTTCATTTTTAACAGTATGCTTTTCAAAACGGTTGTAAGTGAGAACGGTTACACTTTCAGATCAAAATCATGAATTGGTAAATACAAAATGTTTTTAGGATATAAATTTTTATAATATTATTAAATTAGGTTTGTAAGTTGGAATTATACACAGTTTATAAATGACCCTTTCAGGTTATTAAATATGGATGTGATGCTTTCCAAGTTTTCTCATTCGAATTATCCGAACCGAGATCGACGCATCGAGTAAATATGAGATGAGTATAGAAATTTTAGATCACGCCTACAAAAACGGAGGGAAAAAGTTAAGTAAATCGCAAAAGGGCTTATAAATAAAGTAGAATAAATCACATGATAAAACGATATGTTAGTCGGCAAAAGTAAACCAAATGAAGCATCAGTGTCAAAATTACGCATGTATAGAAATTAGCAAACATATGAAGAAGAAATAGTAAGTTTATAACCGACCACCAAGCTGATGCTTTATTACACGTAGAATACAAAAACGTCATTTATTGCATATTACGTTGGTTGCAAGTGCTGTTTAAGGTACATAGGTGATAGTTATTTACCAGTAGCGTATATAGTGAAACAGAACATTTTCTTAAATTATCAGTAAAAGAGATAAAATTAGAAGTGATTCTGAAGACATAGGAACGAATTCACAAGATCCGACTGAAAAAAGTTCGAGAGTTTTTAAATTAAATTAGATCTAAAAAAAGAGTAGATTTATTAAGAAACTTCATTTATAACCACTGATTCATGAATTTAAACAACAATCATTCAAAAAGTCAGTCAGCTAAGGTGTGGAACTTCGTACAGAAGTATATCACAGTGAAATAAATCTAGAGAGCTAAGAAAAGATCCTGAGAGAAGACAAAGAATGGATGCATCTGCGCCATGCAAACGATTTCGAGCCATGTCATTCAAAGTATTTGACCATCAGTTATTATCGTCTCGAGGATCCCATCTCTTTTGCTTTCGCTACCCACCACCGTTCACGATCATTGAGTAGACCTTTTATCAGCCTGCGCTCAAGCTAACTCCACTGCTTATCATGCTCAGGGCCAGACCGATTGAGTTTTCGAGCATCTATCAGCTCAGTAGATACTAGTGATATCCACTGCTTCTCCCTAACCTTATGGTTTACCTTACCGGCAGATAACACTGCCGTTTCTACAGCTTTTTGGATATTCCAAGCTGCTTCGGGGTGGGCATCATTTACATGGCTGCCAAACTGTTTTTCCATTTGCTCTTGAGATGTACTCTTGGCTTTACTATCGCTTAGTAGAACTCTAAGGGTCTTCCTTTCTGCGTTTTTCCCACGTTTAGTAAGACGCGGACAAATACGCGCTCGTACTAGAGCATGATCTGAATCTAAACATATGCCCCAGAACGATTGACAGTCTTCTATCGAGCCTCTCCACCGATGGCTGATAGCAATGTGGTCAAGTTGAGTTAATTTTGAGGGTCACCATATCAAAAGATGTTTTCCCTTACGCTTAAAGTTAGTATTTTCTAAAAATAGTCGGTTATCTGAGCATAGCTGCTGCAGACAGTCGTCATTAAACCGAATCAAACTAATGATCCTACTCAGATGCTGCATGCGCTTTTCGGAGACGCGGCACACATCGATGGCGCGAGATTCTATAGTCATAGCTAGAGAAGCTTGTTGTCCGATTTGGCACAAGGTCCGAACATAAAAGGTTCCAACTTGTAGTTTAGAACGGGGTTTTAGGAGACCAGGAATAACGTTCCATGTACTCGAATCGTTTGTATCGGCGGCGCAAGATGATAAAGGAATGAAAGAAAGAGTTGATCGTGAGGACAAGAAAGTTATCAAGAGGTATATGAAGGATTCTATCATGACCAATTCGGTCTCGCGTGTTGTAACGCGTGCGACGGCGAATGTCACTTCCCGGTTGCCCACATCATGGAAAGATGTTTTTTGAAGAACCTGTAAAGGAAATTGGGTTAGCGTTGATCTTAGAGAACTGAGAGCGTGACTGCAGAGCCCAGGATACAACTGCTTGAGGCCGGTTGAGCATGGTTCTTTTATGAGATTTTAAAGTGCTAGCTCCGCTCTTCTAAAGGCCTTACCTGCGGAGACAGAAGTCCGTGAGGTAAGGTGAGGTGTGAAGTTTTTAGAATCGACCTTTCCTAACCCCTTTCTTCCTTATGAGAAGGAAGCATCTCTGCAGATGCTGATTGTCCGAGGGAAACACCTTACTGCTGTCACACCCCTCTACAGTCTGCAGTACAACTCCACCCTCAGACCTTGAGTTGCTGCTTTTAGTCTTACTGTTCTCCAATTGACCTAAATGGAATTGTAGAACCTAAAGGAACACATGCTCCAGCCAATATAGCTCGGTTGAGTCATCACGATAGGCAAGCCCGACCACTACGTCAAGGTAGCAGCTACGGTCGGGCAACTTATCCAATAAAAATTAATTGAATAATTTTTCCGTTGCAAGTGCTGTGCGCATTATCGAGATATAAACCGTGGTACACTTACTACATGAATGACACTAGCTGTTCGCAGTCTTACGGGTACTTGTTAACATAACGTGACCATAAAGTCAGGTAAGATTCTTTAGTTGTTCATTGCATGATAATTTTTGATAGAAATACTTAGCTCTTCTAAACAACTTACCATGTTTTTGCTAACTAAAATTTCGATCGCCGTAGAAATAATTACCAGCTTTAATCTCTCAGGCTTAATAATTATTTGAGGCACATAAACCTTTCTACTACGGTTCAATTCACAATCAAATCATTTAAGTTTATAGCAGTTTATTAAAATGTAATAGTTTCAAAGTAATATTGAAACACCAACGCAAAACAAAGTGCTCAGTCAAAGATGGGAAAAAACAACTTATTGATAAGTCAGAGGTCGCATGAATATAAACTACGAGAGTGTGATCATACATCGTTTTTCAGGAGAACCAGACGCCATCTAGGCTCTTCAAGGCCCAAACAGCAGAGGACAAGCATGTGGATACCAAGAGCCGTGGTAGACCAGGCTACATTTTGCTTGTTGAATCCTTTCAGTTAACTGCAATTTACTGATGATCTAATATAAACGATATCTTCCTTTAAAAACTGAACTTATTGAATACGTCACAAATTTTTACATAGATGAATTTCAGTTTGCGCAGCCATGTTGTATGAGTTTACGGGCGTCTATCAGTTCAGTGGATGCTACTGAGATCCACGGCTTCTTCTTAACCTTATGATTTACCTTATCAACAGATATCACTGCTGCTTCCACAGCCTTTTGTATATCATTCCAAGCTGCCTCCGGATGGGAATCACTTACAGGGTCGCCTATCTTTTTTCTAGTTGATGCTGAAATATATCCTTAGCTATGCTATCATTAGGTAGAACCGTAAGAGGTTTCCTTGCGGTGTTTTTCCTACGTCTGGGACAGCTCAATCATGTAGAGTAAGCATATGGATACCAAGAATCCTGGTACAGAAGGCCAATCATTGTCAGAAATCAAAAGATAATCACCATCACATAAACGAAATAAACCCAACTAGTCACGTTAAAAAATCCATAAGATCAATTAGGAAAGAAATTAAGTTTAACCTACACTATGGTTGATGGTAAAATCTGTGTCACAACAGGTTCTTGAGCAAGTTCAGATGAAACGCGAAGACATAAGTCATAGAGGCTAGTATCGAAACTGAACGAGTAACAGTCAGATAATTCAATGAGTTCTGAAAAAAAAAATCGGAGACAGGATTTTAACTCAATATATATTTATATATATACTTAAACTGTGATATTGTATATAAAATTTAAACCAAAATGAATGTATGTATATATGTGAGCTTGAAACTAACAAAATATTAGTTTTGAACACAATGAATACATTATATGAACTGCAAATCATGTATACTGTTTGTTTTAGTATCAGTGAAGAAAAGACTATGGGATTCTGTTTGTTTTTCAGGGAAATTATATTAGATGATTACATTACTGTTGAAAAGAACTGAAGTTACTGTGTTGTTGATATTCAAACTGAATTTCAACCAGTTTTCATAGGCGGATTGCCTTGATATAGAGATTGTGACACAAATTGTTTAGAAGACAAAGATTGTGGTCATTAACAGTAGAATCCACGATGGTATTTTCTGTTCCTCGGAAAAGTGATGTAGTAATTTATGTATGCAAATGATAACTATTTTAGTTGCCTGCGATCTGACCCCAATTTGAACCAATGATCCGAGTACGCGATGAAATAAATCCTCCCTTCAATACCGCATATCATACGTAGGCGAACCCCGTTCGTGCAACAGCGGTAATAAGAAGCCGAATATGGTTTTGTGGATAAGTTTATTTCATACAATAGTTTACACAGACAGACATGAGAATCCAAAGCGCAAAGCAGAGCGAAGTGGAAAAGGTGAGAAAGCCATATCAATGCAGTGGGGCATGAATATAACTATTTATAGTCAGACAAAGTAGGCTAGATATGTAACAAGAGAAGCAAGTATGCACAGAGGAGCAACTAAAAAACAATCAAAGTTATAAGCAAAAAATTGACAAGATCGAAATACATGCACATAAGGGTTTGAGAGGAATGAATTAGTTATTTTTTCCAAGGGCTAGGACGAGCCCTGTGGGCTCGGCACATCGGTACATAACTACACTGCCGATATCCAGAGGCATAAGTAACTTATTAGTCTCAACTATTCCTCACTGTCCTAAATAATCAACATTTTGAAATTCTAAAAGCAAACCATTTACAAATATATCGAATGCGATTTACCAGTACGATCAATTACTTACTTTCTGTACCTTTAGACAAAACGCCTACATTAGGTATACAATGAATTTCCGAATAATCAGCATCCACAGAAACATTACCATTATCATATTCATCATCTTCACCGACCACATCACTCTCATGGTTAATTTCATCATCATCAACTGTTGCACGTGGAGGATCTAAAGGGAAGAAATTTTGATCACCATTTCTAACATTAACATTACTACTGTACATGCCAATTCCTGTAAAGTTGAAAATATTCTCATTGTTGAGTATTTCTAGAGCTAGTGTTTCACTTAGAAAATATTGTGAAGATCCGGCTACATGTGGATTACCATTACTATTTGAAGTAGATGATTCTAAATATCTACCGGAGATATGACCAGCCGAATTTACTATAGATGAATCTGTGGATTAAGAAAATGGAAAGTTACTTCATTGAATTTTTATTAACACAATTAAATGAAAGCCAAGTTCCATATGAAGGGTTTATGAGATAAATGTTGAGAAAGACAAAAAATAAAGAATTGTAGGTTTGAAGACAATTGATCAAGGATACCGTAAGTTAAATTAATTAATCAGTAGTAAATAATATCAAAAACTCCGAAGTATGTGATCTGGTTTAAGTTGCCACATCTCATATTACCATAGCAAGGTAAAATTACCTCGGTAGTAGTGATAAAAATATCAGTGCTAATAAAAAAAGCAGATATAGTAGGATTCAATGAGAAATGATGGATTCGTGAAATAAAAAATGATTAGATAACTTTAAAATTGAAAACTTGAAGGAGATCAGAGTGAATACACCTTCGTAATTGCAACTGTTACTCACCATCTCCAATAAGTGATTACAGTAACCGCTCGAATCCCAGCCACGTTGTCTGCACCTACTTACACAATTCAATTCAACAGTCGATAACTTTATGAACTGCTGTCAGATATTAGTTTGACCGGCTGGGGATGTCGGGCGACATTGTTCAAATTTGACCACAAAGGCCTATATTTATTTTCACTTCATATTACTCTAGATCTTCAGTTTCAGTATTGCTTCATAGATACTTTCGATTTTTTCTCTAGGAACCATATTCTCAAAGATCAGTTTTCTCACTAAAATTATTACGATTCTATTACTGTTCATCTCGTCCGGCTAATGTGGCATAGGGACATGAACGAGTCTGTATTAGGCTCCACATTGATTGTGACTGACTAAGAAAGAATTCATACTTACAGTAAGCACAATAAATACTTACCTCTTGTTGTGAAATGTATCGAAGTCATTGAAAATGTATCATTATTATTAGTAGTATTAGCATTGTTATCACTGTATAAATGAACAGGATCTGTAGATGAAGATTGTAAAATTTCTTGCTGATTTAATGACAATTTACTATCTTCAAATATGAAATGAAATGAAGTTTGAATAAAATTTAAATATTTCAATAAAACAGATGCTACAGTTTGTTGTACAGAATTCTTAACTGTATAACAAAGAATATTAGGATTATAAGTCAATTTTGATGTAGATGATAATGAAGAGAAAGAATTATCATTATTATGCTTATTATTAACTACAGATGTTATCTGATACACATTAATATAAACATAAGTTGCATAATTTTCCAGTTCATCCATATCTATATCAGAATATAAAAAAAACGTTTTATAAGCTAGGAAATTTTGATTATGTTGACAACTATGATCCTCTTCATCAACATCACGAAACACAGCAGTATTGTACATTGTTGATGATAATGAATCAAGCGTTGTTGTATGATACTTGACATGCGCATATTTTGAAGCACGCTCTACCGCTTCGAATAAAATATATACCACTGATTTAAGACAGATGTTAATTAGTTGTGATGAAATGTACGTAGCAGATGTATGATTAATACATGGTTCTTCGAAGTTGATTACTTCATGTGAATCTTGATAAAATGTGTAATGTTTTAATATCACAGGTTTATAGTTTTGATTTGACTCAGAGCTGAAAAAAAGATAACAATAATTAAAACCTAAGATTTTTAGTATAAGAGATTATTGAGTTGTATGGTTTAATCGTGAAACCTTCCTTATACTTCGTGAAAAGATTATGGGCGGGCAAAGTTGCTTACTCTCACCCTTTCTCTTTCTCTTGGTGATCGAATGGATTTTGAAGACGTCAACATCTGGAGGGAAGCACGGTATCCGATGGACAGCTAGGACGCATCTAGACGGTCTAGACTTCTCAGATGACCTAGCTCCTCTATCGCAAACACGACAACCAATGCGAGAGAAGACGGCTAGCGTAGCAGCAGTAGGTCTCAGCATATACAAGGGAAAAAGCAAGATTCCATGATATAACGAAAAATATATCAACCAAATCACGCTTGATGGAGAAGCTTTGTAAGTTGTAGAAATCTTTACGTACCTGGGAAGCATCATTGACGAGCAAGATGGATATGATGCAGATATGAAGGCGCAGATCGCCAAAGAAAAGGCGGCGTTTCTACAGCTGAGGGAATTATGTAACTCAAAACAACCAACACTAAAGTCACAATTTTCAATACAAATATCAAGAAGGTTTGTTGTAACGGTTGCTTAAGATATTCACGGCTAAATCTTATTGCTTAGTATTCCTGACACAAAACACTGGACAAGTAACACAAATCAAAACACGGTTGAACAGGAAGGATTGTATTCCAAAATAGCAAGGAAAAGAAGCTGGAGGTGATGTCGAAAGCCAAGGCAAAAAGGCTTGAAAGCGAAGAAGGCTAGAAGGCTTGAAGGCTTGAAGGCAAAGATAAATACAATGCTAGTCTATTTATAGCCTTTACATGAGAAAACTTCTGGAAGAAAATTCACGTGATCGACTGGACTGGATTTGACCAATCAGCATGCAGCTAATAATACGAGAATTTTCTGTCCTGTTCTCCAAGCTTCGATCAGGCGCTGATTGGGTAGGAAATTAGCCAATCAGCGCGCAGTGACGTAATCATGCTTTGAATCCATCTATGTCCCACTAACAAGGTTGTACTGTATGGGGCCTGAAATTGGAGAATTATGAAAGCTATCATCCGGGAGAAACAAGCGTTTATAAACGGTTGTCAACTCGAAATAGTGAGGATCCTTTTGGCCAGATACCATTTGTTGAAGAAGAAATTAAGAAAAAGCGCTGGCACTGGATAAGACACATACTGAGGCAAACACCCAACTGTGTCGTGAGACACGACTTGACTTGAAATACTCAAAGCCAAAGGAAAGGAAGAAGACCGAAGAACTCTTCACGCAGAGAATAGGAAACAGACATAAAAAGAATGAACAAAAACTAGATTGAATTGGAAAGGAAGGCCCAGAGGGCAGAGTAGGTTGAATCATGTTCGTCGCCAGCCTATGCACCATTGAGTTAACAGGAAAAGTTAGCAAAATTTGTAACTTCTCCTAATACATAGAACAGTGATCTGTGAAACATTGCAACTATTGAAAGCAAAATTCATGCATTTATTCATACAGAATAGGAGTCAAAAGTGTACTTGAAAACTTAATTCTAGTTGTTGATACTAATAGTACAGTTAGACCCGACCGTAGCTGCTACCTTGACGTGGTGGTCAAGATTGCCTATCGTCGTGACCCAACCGAGCTATATTGGCTGGAACATATGTTCCTGAAGGTTCTACCATAGCAGGATGGTCGATTGGAGAACGATGAGACTAAAAACAGCTACACAAGGTCTAGGGGCGAAGTCGGACAGCTGACGGCAGAGAGGTGTGACAGCTGTAAGGTGTTTTCTACGGACGACCAGCATCTGCAGCAACCAAATCACTCTTGATGGAGATGCCTTGGAGGACGTTAACACCTTTACATATATGGGCAGCATCATCGACAACCATGGTGGATTGAATGCAGATGTGAGGGTGCGGATTGGAAAAACAAGGGCTGCATTTCTACAGTTGAAAAATATCTGGAACTCCAAACAACTTTCAACCAAAACCAAAATCAGGATTTTCAATACAAATGTGAAGACAGATTTACTGTATGGAGCGGAAACATGGAGAACTACGAAAGGCATCATCCACAAGATACAAGTGTTTATTAACAGTTGTCTACGCACAATACTTCGGATTCGTTGACCAGACACCATCAGCAACAACGAACTGTGGGAGACAACAAACCAGATTCCAGTGGAAGAGGAAGTCAGGAAGAAGCGGTGGAAGTGGATAGGACACACACTACGAAAAGCACCTAACTGCGTCACTAGACAAGCCCTCACATGGAACCCTCAAGGCAAAAGGAATAGAGGAAGGCCAAAGAATACATTACGCCGAGAAATAGAGAAAGATATAAGAGGAATGAACAAACATTGGACAGAACTGGAGAGAGAAGCCCAAGACAGAGCTGGTTGGAGAAAACTGGTGGGCGGCCTATGCTCCATTGGGGGTAACAGGCGTAAATAATAATAAATCCTTCCTACACCGCTTAACAGTCCCCTCAACTCCACGAATAACTCTTCTCACATTGCTTTATCACCCCGCACCTTTGCTGCAAACGATTCGAGTCCCCGAAACGTTATTTATGGTCTCCTGAAACCTTGTTGTAGACTACATGTTGGAGCTTCTAATGTCCGGATATTTTGTCAAATATGGCAACAGGCCTCATTAGCTAGGAGTTTAGAATCTGAATATCGCACCATCGACGTATGCTGCATCACCGTAACGCGCATACAGAATCTTGGTAGCGTCATTTACTTGACCTCTCCATGCCAAGATAAAGAAGCGGCTCGATTTACTCTGCGTGTATCTGGAAGCTCTGCTGCTGCTACTTGAGGTCTCGCTAGCGTAGGTATGGGGTAGAACCAGCGCTCCTATGTTGGAGCCCAGTCGCTTGTGCGTTTCGCGACTGAACGGGACATTAAGGACTGGGAAAGAAAGAGATACTCCTGATGTCTCTTCGTCGTATGTGCCTACGCTTCCACTGACTGCAATTGAGACGAGGTTAAAAATGAGTTCAACAGAAAGCTTTCGAACCTACTCCAAAAATTTAGGCGCTTTGATATAGTAATAATGGTTGATGACTGTAATGCTCAAAGAGGTAGACTATGTGGAAATGAAAGACACCTGAATAGATCTTATGGTGTCTTGGCCCAAAAAACTGATAATGGCGACCGTCTGCAAACAACTAGGTTCAGAAAACAACCATTTCCTAGCAAACACTAACTTTAATCATAAAGAAAGGCATCTATTGAACTGGTGAACCCCGAATTCGTCTCAAAACTGGGGCCAACTAGATCACATCGCAATCAGCCACCGATGGAGTGGTTCGATAGAGTTCTGACTCTCGTTCTAGGTCGCATGTTAATATTCAGATCATGCTCTAGTACGAGCGAGTATTTGTTTGCGACTTACCGGAAGTAGGAAAAACACCGCAAGGAAACCTCTTACGGTTCTACCTAATGATAGCATAGCTAAGGATATATTTCAGCATCAACTAGAAGAACAGATAGGCGACCATGTAAGTGATTCCCATCCGGAGGCAGCTTGGAATGATATACAAAAGGCTGTGGAAGCAGCAGTGATATCTGTTGATAAGGTAAATCATAAGGTTAAGAAGAAGCCGTGGATCTCAGTAGCATCCACTGAACTGATAGACACTCGTAAACTCATCCCACAGAATGAGAAAAGGTCTACGCAATGATCGCAAACAGTGGTGGGTAGAGAAAACAAGAGCAATGGAAAAGGCAGCGGCGATAGGCGATAGAAGACAGCCGTGCTGACTTATCCAGCAAACCGGTATTAGAAATCCATTTGTTAGCTGAACTATCTCAGAAAGGAAAAGCTATATCACTCATTCTCTTTCTCATAAAATTATAGGAAAGACAGCGTAAGGAAGCCTCTTAGGGCTTCACTTAACGATAATCAAACTAAGAAAACGTTAGGAAATCTAAAGCGAGGGCGAGCTGCAGGTCCTGATAGACTGACTCCTGAGATATTTAGGGTGGTGGTCCAGTTTTAGCAGCTAGGTTGACTGAGATCTTAGGTAGAATCTAGGAACTGGACATAAACCCATCCGACTGGTCTCAATCACTGATTGTCCCAATCTATAAGAAAGGGCAAAAGTCCTCTTGTGAAAATCACAGGGGAATAAGTCTAACCTATATGGTATCTAAAATATTGGCCTCAATAATACTTCGACGCTTAAAGAAAGCTCGTGAAAAGCAGACTCGAGAAAACCAGTCTGGTTTTCGACCAGGAAGCGGCTGTATAGACCACATCTTCACACTACGACAGGTCCTGTAACACAGACACACATTTAGACGTCCTACAATAGTCGTGTTCCTGGAACTAAAAGCGACATTCGTTTTTGTGGATGGTGAGGTTCTGTTGCAGTGTCTGTCATTGAAAGGTGTACCAAAGAAGTACATTAACCTTATACAAGCTCTCTACTCGAACACCACTGGTTGAGTGAGAGGATATGGCGAACTGTCATCTGAATTCTCTACTTCAAGTGGTGTCCGTCAGGGTTGTCCACTCTCTCCATTCTTGTTTAACTTTGTCGTTGGCATCCTCTTAGAGTTAACATTAATCTCGTCAGATTTTTCAGGGGTTGATCTTCTACCAGGAAAGTGGCTTACTGATCTAGAATATGCCGATGACATAGTTCTATCCGGTGAAGACGCTGACAAAATACACAGTCTTCTGACTACCCCAAGCAACAATGCAAGCATGTTCGAGATGCGGTTCTCATCCTCGAAATGGAAAATGTTGCTTGAAGATTGGGCTGCATCGGTACCTGAACTAGTGATAGGGAGTGAAACAGTCGAGCGTGTAGACCGCTTCACTTATCTCTAGAGTCTCATCAGTGCTGATTGCCTGGTAACTGACGAAATATCGGCACGGATACAGAAGGCTCGATTGGCTTTTACCAACCTGCGTCACCTATGGCGCAGGCGAGATATCTGTTTGCTGACTGAAGGACGAGTGTACTGCGCAGCCGTTCGCTCCGTTCTCATATATGGCTGTGAAACATGGCCAGTCAGAGTAGAAGGTATTCGTAGGTTACTGGTTTTCGATCATAGGTGTCTTCGAAGCATTGCTCGTATATCGTGGGACACCCGAGTGAGCAACGCTGTTATTAGGAAACGGGTACTAGGTACGGATGGCAGATCAATAGATGAAGTGGTGAGACTCCATCAGTTGGGGTGATTGGGAATGACTGCCTCTATGAGCTATGTTTTGTGGAGCTATGTCCCCCTAACAGGGAGTAAATTGGAAGAAAGCTAAGGGCGGCCGAACCAAAACATGGCAGAAATGCATGAAATCACTGACAACTGGAGAGAGTTATGTTGACAGATATAGGCTACCTGGTTGGGCTCCGCGAGATGAAAGTTACCGATGGTTAGAGACCTCGAACAACATGGCTAAAAATGGTTTGCAATGGCGCAGATGCATCCACTCTTTGTGTTCTCTCAAATTCCAATCTTCTGAATTCCTCATCATCCCTATCTTTCGCTTTCTAAAGTAATCTCACTGAGTTATGCTTCTCGAATCATATCTTCGAACCCTAATATTCTCCATTATTGCTAATACCTTTACTACCTCGACTACCATCGGATTTGAATTGACAATTACATCTCTGTGCTTATGTGGTATGGTAACATGAACTTATGTGCTCATGCACCAATTTCTACATTGTATGTATGTAGTTAATAATTTTATATTTATTGATATTGTTGGCTTTTACACTTTTCAACTGAAAAGTTTATTATAGTCATATCACTTGTTGAATATTTAAGCATATATATGTATATATATATATATATATATATATATATATATATATATATATATATATATATATATAAATTCTTTTGGTTCCCTAATATACACACAGTTATTTAACCAGTGGTTCTGTATCTTGAAATTAATAGTTTGAATTCTGAAAAATCACTACTAAAATTCAACTATCATTTCACTGGAACCTTTTTAACATCAAAAGTCAATAATTCCTTCCGTTTTTTGTAGTATGATCATTATTTTAAAGAAATCCGTAAAACATAAGCATTTTAACTACATAACATAGATTACCACAATGAACGGTTGTGAATAACGTAAGGCTTTTCTGAATTCTTATAAACTGAGTACAGGTGTGGACGATAAGATTGTATGCGCCAAAAAATAAAAATTGCGTGTAGGGTAAGATAATGATGAGGTGCCCAAACCGAAGATGCCTTTCATAGGGAGTAGCTCTTTCTCTTTCTCTGAGTCTTCGATATAAAAGTCTGATCCGTAAGGCAATGGGGCAAAATCAAGAACTGATGTCAAGTTAGCCAAGTACCGGAAAATAGGCTCATACATTGCTCCTTCCCTTTGGATCATGGAGTCCATTACCACTAATAGTTTGGAAACATGGTTTTACAACTATATCTGTTTAATCCTCTATATCTACTAACATTTATTAAGCGCCATATCTCCGCTTTTAACAAGTATAACTTATCATTTTTAGATGATGAGTAAATTACTAATCAACCAATTAATTCAAATACACGAAAAACTAATAAACATACCTGGACAAAAGGCAACTGCACGACGTTGGACAGTTTGCAACAAAAAAAATATGAAATCTTGACAGTGGATACGGCACAGAATTTCGTTCAGAACTGTTATTATTATTACTATTCTCGTTATGATTAGTTGTTTTATGCGAAGAACAGTTGTTATTTGCTAAAATTATCCGGGTCACATGAAATAGGTGAATAATTTCATCAGCAGTTACACTATAATTAGTACTAGTGCCGTGGCTAGTAGTATGTGGATTTTTGACGGTGGATTGATGAGAAAGCATACATTCAAGGTATTTAATGAATGATGAACTATCATCATCATCAGTAAGATTATTACCAAAACTACTAGTCGTTAAATGATGAGACAATTGAGATAATTCATCAAAGCTTATGACGAATAAATTAGATAACAGGATAAAATCATGAATTAACAACGAACTCAATTCACTGAATACGTGCGAATCGCGTAAATACGACGGAATCATAATGATAAGATAGAAATTTGTCATTGGTGTATTTGATGATGACAACGACGATGGTACTGCAAAAGTCGATAAAGATGAATTCGTGATAGAATTCGAAATTATGACATTATTATTGTTCTCATCATTATGATGGTTTGAAGAATTCGACTGAATACATAAAATTGAAACGAATGATTTCAATGTGGAATGGATTGTTCTCAACCCAAGTACTTCATTTTGAGTTCGATTATTGCCTGTTTATGAGAAACGAAAACAAAAGGCGGGACGCAAAACACATACTTTATTAAAATTCGAAAAAAAAAAATTATGACTACATCTAATACAGTGAGATCGTCTTGTTTCAGAAAGATACAGGCGTTAACACAAAAGTGATTGATAAAGTATATGCATAAAAACTGACCAAACTATTACTCGGTTTAAACAGTTGAATATATTTTTCAACTAGAGTTATGGAGATAATTGCTTTTTACACATTTGAAATCATCAATCAATCAATGTTAAACCAACATTAGAAATCTGGAAGCGCTGGACGGCCGTTTCGTCCTGGTATGGGACTCATCGTGGATGCATACTGCTGATGAGTCCTATACCAGGACGAAACGGCCGTCCAGTGCTTCCAGGTTTCTAATGGTGGTCTAACAATAATTGATTGATGATTTCAAAAGTTGAATATATAAAAAATTTGTTCGGGGAAATAAGATACAAGCATAAAATAGATTTCAGAGAACACAAATATTAGGTTAAGTTAAATTATAATTTTTATGGTAAAGTATTCATCAATATGAAGAATTGGTTGAGAATGATGAATTTCTGTGGTTTACATCACAGACGGATCTTGATCAGTGTATGGAACTCCTCAGGACTCAGTATTCACATTATGAACCTATCTGTCCGAATCATTCAATTTTAGACAGATAATGTGTATAAAAAGCTGCATTTCACATTATGCTGCTGATTTGCATGTATACGTAAAATGTAATGAAACGGCAACAAACTAATTCCAGTGGGATAAACTCTATCAATATCTATCGAAGTAGTTATGGTCGATGAACCGAACAAACTGGATAATGAAACTTGCAAAGTAAGTGACTTGTAAATGACGAGTTACAATAATCAGATGGATCATTCTCACTTTGGCAAGGCCACCCGAACATATCTCTGAATGTCATTCAATCCGCTTACAAATAAACGCGCACTATGATTAAATTACATAATTTACAGTCTGAGTTTTATCTTGTGCAATTAGACGAAAGAAACGTATGAGAACACAAGATTAACCTAAGAGATCAGTAGAAAATAACGCTGTTAACACTCCGGAATGTACATTTGTCATTTTTTAAATCGACTTTGTGATAATATTGCCTAACTGTGACTGTATCTAGTATGGGATAGTGATCTCAATCCAAACTTTTTCAGTTATCATAGTAATGCAGACAAGTTCTATCATATGAGAAATATAGCCACTTCCTTCTCGTCGTGGACGTGTTGTTTACGAAGTCGAGAAGACATAAGTCGATTGTTAGGCGCTTAAAATGGTCTTGTGGGTACGGAAGATCTGCCTAGATGAGTTGGAAAACTTTGATTCAAAACCGATGGTGCACATGGGCGCCAAGATGATGGAACAAATGACACGTGGTTGGTCACCGGTTACCATAGGACTGCATTTCATGCCATTGCCCAACTGCCTCGTGGATTGGAAATGTAGATTAAACGCTCGGACAGTGGCCTTCTAAGAGGACCACCGACTTCTGTTTGATTGCCCGAGCAGTATCCCAGTTCACACACAAAGTCATTGCTTTGCGTGGCGCATAGATATTTGAATGTCTCTTTGTACCAACGTTCGTGTTGAATAGATAAATAATGACGAATTCTCGTGTATCATGGAGTTTCTTATATGCTTTTGCTATCTTAGTAGCAAACAACTAAAGGAAATACACACACAGTGAAGTAATTTTGTGAAAAAAGGTTAGAAAGGGTCAATAATTTAATATACAAACCCCAATTCACATTGTATAAACTTCTGTCAGGAAACATTCCATAAGATGTTGAAGACTCGTTGACAGATCGCCGACTATTATGGTTGGTATTACTTATAAGAGACAAGTTCTCGTTAAGTGCTTTTGGTTGTGTCCCACCAAATAAAAATACACGAGGATGTTGTTTAATAAGTGTAGGATCATAACCATGATGAGGAATACTGGGTGGTGCCAGATAAAGACATGTTACAGCACGTCTACGGGCTGAAGGTACATGCATGTGTAAATTTGATGATTTTATACTAGGAATGTAGGAAAGTTGCATCCAATTCAAAGTAGACAAATTGAAACGCCAAACATCTTGATAATGTAACTGAAGACTGCGACCTGTTTGTGATCGAATAGCTCCAAAGGCAATGTATAGATTACCATTGTAGGACCCTAAATATTTTATTGAGATTTAACAGAGTAATTTCTTAGCATTAGATACTGAATGTATAGCATATAATGCAAAATTGGAAATATAACACTAACCCGGAACAAACCAAAATATTTTAGAAGTCATAATGTAAAAGATATCCAAAACATTACAAAACGTTGTACATCGTAAGTGAATGCACAATTAGCTGGATACATATACTAGTATCCAAAGTCTGATAGATCTTGCAAAAATGAAGTAATAGTAATGTCTACAGAAGCAAGACAGTTGAGTTATTTCACCAAGTAGAAGTATACAGAAACTGTTTGGTTCTCTATGAACCCTGGTTATTCTTTATCATATAAACATATAATTATTCCAGAATTACTGTAATAGTAGAAACCAAAACGACTAACTGTAAAGTCAATCTGGATCTATATGATCTTTGCACATCTATGACTCCCGGTTTCGGTTGCTGTGAGAAGCGGTAGTCATGGATGCTGATGAGTCCCATACCAGGACGAAAGGACCGTCCAGTGCTTCCGGGTTTATAATGGTGGTTTAAAATTGATCGATTCATGGTTTGCAAAATAGATATGGTGGACAGTCCAACATAGTATACTGACTTCAGAAAAAGTAAATCGAAATTAACCTTTAAAATGTTTTGTGAAGATATGGTGCAAATCAATAATTATTTGTTTTGCACAAATATTAAACTGTATTTGATGTTCGATAAAGTACAGTAAACTATTTACAACACTTTATGATTAAGGTGGTCCAGATTCACTCAAAATTTATCTTTTTCCTAGCAGTGATTCGATCATAATCGATGTTATATTTGCAGTAAATACGTTGCCAAATCACACATCAGTGGTAAAAGTGAAAAATTTCGGGATAAGAAGTAAAGGAGAGTAAACGTATGCATACTTTCAATTCGATACACCTTTGGATAAGTGTTTGACTGATCATATGCATCACTCCCTCCCCATTCAAACAGTTATTTCACCTAAACGCTAGATGTATGCATCAAACTGACACTTTCTCGTTCACATATGCAAACATATTTATTTGTTAGAATATTTTCGTTCATTGATTCGCTTCGCTGTTAGTTAGTCGCATTGTTTGAGTTACCAGCTTGAAATAAATCATTTTCACAACTCTGTCCCGACTTCGGAAATATTATAAACCACGAGTAGTAGTCGTGATAATGGTAATCGGGGTAACATTTCAATGAAATATAATGGGTACACAACACCTTGCCATAAAGTTGTGAGTTACTATCATCTAATTATATGTGCCTTCAAAAATTGGTTGTATACGTTGAGACAAATGAGTGAACAGAATGCTATGTGAGGATGGTTAGTCAATTGATGATAGCGAATCTTTATTGACTGAGGTGGTCGGGATATGCATTACATTAACTTAACCAGAGTCAACTTCGACGCACAACGATGGCTCGTGTAAAATCACGTTGGAAATTTAAGAGTGATTGGTCCAATACATGGGAATCAGTCCATGAAGTCATTGACTGATCTGTTAGCGTATAATTTCCAATTTATTGGTGTGATGTGGCTAAATATGTTTATAAATAAACCACGTATGTTAAAATATATGATTCGATTGGTGGAGACCGTTTACGAACCTCTGGACCCAATTAACCAGCCACAGAGTGAACTCCAAACCAATACATATTTAGCCGTTAACTAGATGTTTTTGGCTTGTAGTCGTATTCTGGTGTTTTGTTTGTTCTACGAGATATCAGATTACAAGCAAAACAGCATAAACACAAAAATTACAGAACGAGAAAAAATTAGATCAACTTACAATGTGAAAGACTTCTACGTCCGTAAGGTGAATTTAACTTTAGTGATGTTGATGACGATGATTGTACAACTGATGACTTTGAATCACAAGTCGATTCATTAACTTTATTGAATATTTGTGAAAGCAGAACTTCTGGTGATTGTAAACCATGACCTGGATGAAGGATTATCCAAACTGCACTACCACCTGACCAACGAGAACGATAGTTTGATGGTAATTTATAATTGTGTTGTGCATATGATTTGTTTTCCGCATTGTGATGAATGAATTTCCACAAACAACATGGACGGGGAGGAGAAGTTGCCCAGAAGTCAGGTCTATGAAAATAAGTTCGGAAAAAAGCAAATGAGATAAACCACACAAATTTACTACGAAATCCAGTTATATGAACAATGGTCTGCTTTATATTTGTGAAGAAACACTAAATTTATATTAACCATTGACGCGTCAACAACCAAATCTTTTGGTGTTAGCCTACTACTTACTACCGATTCAGTAGTTCTGTGAGATTAACAGCAAAATAAATGACCAGATACTGTGATGGAATATGGACAACATTTCATAGTTTATGGAAACTAATAAGAAAGTCTTAGACGTGTCTCCATATTTCTCTATATCGATAAACAGGAGGTATTTATAAACTCAAAGTAACTTAAAGATACGAGTTTATGTTGCTTACAGTCTCAGTCACAGGCTTTCACTAGTGTTGAATGTAACTCATCAAACAGTTCAAATACTCGGTTTTTAGTAAAACCATTTGACTCCCCACAATCGAATTATGTGAAGTAGCGTTCTACTACAAGACCTACTAGTTTAAACACTCAATCAAGTTAATGTGGACGTAATAGTAGATGACAGACTGTTTTTTGAAGAGCTTAATATTCAATTTTCTTCTACTTGCCATATCAGTCATAAGATCCATTTCTGGAGGCTTTGTTTGTGAAAATCCCTCCATATATACATTTGTAATTTGTTCTTATTGATTCCTTCAGTTGTACATTTTGTTAGTCTGTTCTATTCCATTTGAGATGATAATATTTGTATTTTATTATAGTTTCTATTTATTGTGCCTTCACTGAGTTTCAATGTCTCTTTCTGAATTGCATTTATGTTGTTTAAGCTGGTACTTAGTCATGACGACAGCCATATTGATTTGTTTCTCTTTTGATTGCGTCGGTTGCACTGACTGGAATTGTGCATTTTGATTTTAAATTGAACCACCCTTCCAGAATAAGAAGCACTCTGTTATAAAGCGACCAAATATTATATTTGAAGGAATCTGATCTATCCAGAAACGATAGAATAACGTTTATTTGTGTTGTTGATTTGATTAATTGAACAACTGTTGAAGGAATAACCGAGTGGTAATATTTGTTTACGTAATGATATACATTTATATTTATGATGAATATTAGAACCGTTATTTACCCAAATCACTTATTTCGGTTTCAGGGTGCGCATCTAAACTACCTAGACAGTTATTCCTCAGTCCAAAATTCAGTTTGGATACTACATCAGTTATCTTGAAGATTTGAATAAACATTTGTGACTAGTAATAACACGCAAAATAGTTAAACTAAGAGTATCCAACGAAAGGCTATCTAAAACCGATAATTTAAAACAATTAGTCCCTTTTATAAATTTTGATAGAACAGTGAGAAGACGTAATTGATCTGAAAAATGTGATGTGTTTGCGCTATAACCGATAACACAAAGGTAAGTGCATTCGATCAATAGAAATTAACTTTATACATAAGTTTGAAACCTAAAATATAACATGTGTATGCAACCGTAACGAGTAAAACAAATTATTACTCTCACTTCACAAGGAACAAATGTAACACCCTCAATAAACAATAAACGGTTCCATCGGTTTGAAGAGATACATTTATTGGCTTTATGATTTGCATTCCAGAAACCATACCTAGTTCATAGACTTTAAATAGAGATATATGTCAGTCAGTCAGCTACAAAATAGGACTTGATACGGACGTATATGAGTTCAAGTTCCCATGGAATTGTCAATTCAAATCCCACAGTAGTAGATGCATTAGCAGTGATGGAGAAGAATAGGGTTTGAAGATATAATTCGCAAACTATATTCCGGTGAGATAAACTTGAAAAGAGAAAAATCGTTCATGAGGAATTTAGAATATTACAATTTGAAAGAAAACAAAGAATGGATGTATCTGCTACACTGCAAACGATTTTGAGTCACGTCATTCAGTCTCTTAAGTAGAGATAAGCTTCATGATGATATTCGGAAGTAGCACTCTTAAACATGACGGTGGGATAAATCTTTATCCTGGCATTCATTGATATTATCTGTATTTCTAATACCAAGCACAGTAACACGCTACGGTATCTGAATCAACAACTTCCGAGTGAATCATTTGAATTCAATTTACTGTATAATAAGCACAAATCTATGTTCTATACTTAACGCAAGCGAATCTCGCGGACAAATCATGCTTAGAATTGATGAGGACGAAAAGGCAACGAACCAAGCATGCAGCTCTTGAGCCGAATATCCTACAAATATTCTTTCGTGTATGGCAAATCGGTAACTAATTAAGAAAAATCTACCTTAAATACAACGAAAGTAAAGGATTTCTCGCTTGGGGAAACCGGAAAAACGGGTTCTAGGAATATAAACATTAGATTTTACGGATAACAGTCAAATGGAATGAGAAATAATTTTGAAGCTGCTGTTGAATATAAAAAAAATCTTAGATTATCAAGCCAACTGGGGAAACTGATATGATGAACGCAATACTGCTTTGTTAGTGGGACATAGATGGAAAAGTATGAGTGCGTTAGCCGCACACTGATTGGCTAATTTCCTATCCAATCAGTGCCTAGCCTATACTTGGAGAGCATGCTAGAAAATTCTCGTGTTGTTAGCTGCATGCTGATTGACTAAATCTAATCCGGTTAGTGCTAGTCAATCACGTGGATTGTAGTGCCTCCACATTCATTTGCATTCGCTTACATTTAATTTGGTCAAGCCTTTCGATTAATTTATTTAACCAAGCCATTTGTATAACAATAACTTATATGTATCATTGGCTTTTATTATTGTGTGGTTTGTATGAGCTGGTATGACTGAGCATTACTTAACGCCTACGCGCATATGCATCCTACTCGCTTTAATATTGATCTCTTAAATATCACGATGACTCAGACATTTTCCTATGTATAAATACGAACATTTTAATCTTATTAATTCACTCGCTCATTCGCTCGCTAGTGTGCCTGCCCGGTCTGCTTGTGGTCTGCTATTCCCATTTATGGTGTGCCAAAATAAACGTATTCAACACTTCGAGTTTACCTCCTGATTTATAACCGTCAGACGCCATTTAGTAACGATTGTCTTAACGAGCTAATTACGAAGACTAAGAACACGTAGAAAGTGGCTACCACCGGATTAGATTCCAGAACTTCTCATGTAAAAACTATTAAGATACTAACGTTGTATCTATTTCGCCTTCGTCTACGCTTCGGCTTATTCCCATTTAACCTTGCTATTTGGAATATGATCATTTTCCTGTTCTACCGTGTTCTGATTTGGGGACTTGTCGAGTTTATTGTTGTCAGAGAATACTAAGCAATAGGAATAGCTGGGTTTTATGAAGAGAGCGTTACAACATGCTTCCCGGTCAACTTTCTATCGCTTACTCTTACCAAGAAACCTGAATAAGCCCTCTAATTCATAAAGTAGAAAAAGCCAAAACTAATCTAAAGCGAGGGAAGGTAGCAGATCTTGATAGAGCAACCCTAGAGATACTTAATGTTGATGGTCCAATTTTAGCAGTTAGTTCGTAGCTAGGGTCTGGAAACTGGATTTAATCTCATCTGACTGGTCTAGATCGCTAGTCATTGAAGTTTGTAAGGAAGGAAAAGAATCCGCTTATGATAACCACATAGGAATCGGTTGAACTACCATAACTTCTAAAATATTAGCCTCAATAGTCATTGACGCTTAACTGGGGCTCCCGAACAGCAGGCTCGATTTGAGACTTTGATTTACGGAACAGGTTCTAGAACCTACTTTCAACTATAGATGTGTTTTTTCACTTAAGGCACCGTTAGACTCTACAGATCGACAAGTTTTGTGACATTGTCTGTCATGGAAAAAATACATTAACCTTGTGTAGGTCCTTTACTCGAACGCCATTGGTCAAGTCAGGGCTTATAGCGAACTTTAATAGCAGCTGATAATTTCTGGCGGTTTTCGTCAGCATTGTTCCCTTTCCCTCTTTTGGTTTAGCTTTGTTGTATAGATCCCCTTGGAGACAACACCCTCATCGTTTAATTTATCAGGAATCGATCTACCAAGAGATTCTCTTGATGACTGGTAATACACAGATGATTTAGTACTCTTTAGTGAAAATTCCGACTGCCCTAAGCAAAAATGCTAACATGTTTATGATGCATATTCTCCCCAAATGTAAAACCTTGCTTCAGGATCGATCTGAGTCAACACCCGAACTAATAATAAGGAGTGGGGTAGTTGGACGTATGGTCCTTTCCACTTACTTTGGAAGTGTCATCAGCGTGATGGGTTGGCGTCTGGTGAAATCGAAGCACTAATTTGGAAAGCTCAGTTAGTTTTTATTATCTTTAGTCACCTGTGGCGTAGGTTAAGAATTTGTCTGCCGACTAAGGGAAAAGTATATGGGGAAGGAATTTGCTCCGTTGTTACATAACTGCAAAACGTGGTCTTTAAAAGTTATTAGAATCCGATCATCAGTAGCTTCGAATTAGTGTCAATATATCTTAGGACCATCAAGTTAGCAACTTAAGGATTAGACGCCGAGTACTAGGTGGGTGTGGCAAGTCAATTGAGGAGTTAGTAGATGTTCATCAACTGGCATGGCTAGGACATGCATTATGTATAATTAACAAGCGCCTACCTTGATGCATGATGATGGCTAGTGCAGGAGTAGGCTGAGTCAGCCAAATTAAGATAATGGTAGCCATTCGTGAAAACACCAATTAATGGAGTGCGATAATTTAATAGGTGGAGTTAGCTTGATTATCATACCCAATGGTTGGACTTCGGGTGACAGCTCAGAATCGATATTTCAAAATAGTCAGTCAGTTACAACGTAGAACTTCGTACATACGTAAATACATACATAAGTTCATGTTGCCATACCACATTCGCACAAATGCCATTGTAGTAGAGACACCAGAAGTATTAGCAGTAATGGAGAAGACTAGGGTTTGAAGATATCATTCAAGAAATATAATTCAATGAGATAAGTTTAGAAAGAGAAATGTAAAGGTGATGACGAATTCAGAAGATTAGAAT